AGCACTGGGTAGTATAGATAATTTTGATTGACCAATGCAGCAGAGTTTTGTGAGTATGAGTCCAGTAGTCAAGGTTAGATTATTTTACTGCAACCTTGGAGCACATGCCCTTGGCTTATGGATCCACACATAGAAAATCAAGGAAAGCTGTAAATCTTTCTTCCTGCCCACCCCAGTCCCATTTCCCAACTGTGAAATGAGAGTACAGAGGTGAAATGGAGCCACTTCCAGTAAGGCTTTGACTGAAGGGTCTGCCAAGAGTTGGAATTTCCCCTGAAATCCCAGGGTGTGAGGAGAAATCCTGTGACCAGACAGCCCACACAGTGGAGCTACGAGTTGAGGAGGATCATGTGTTGTTTTATTAAAGGTGGCCTTGTATGATCCATGCCTTGGCCTTGCTGTTTCTGTTTCGTTTATGAATATGGACATGAGATAGAATTTGGTGGTGATTTTAAGGTAGATTCCATGGAAAAGTCACCTAAATCTCTGACTTCAGATACTTCCCCTTATTTCCCCCCAAATACTTGTATTATGATTGATTACTGTAGTCTTACTACCCCATGACAAGTTTTTGAGTCACTATCGCATTCAATATGGTTATGGGGTTTGCTTTCACCATCTCCACCACAGAAACAATTTTTTCAGTGGCTTGGATTCTAAGAAAAGTGAACTAAAAGACGTTCGTCAGAGGATATTTTCATTTTACATTCAAATACACCAGGCAGTTCCTTATTCCTATCCCACTTTATTCCGTAAACTACTCCATCCCTCCCAAGAGACGGTGATTGTGTGAACAAGAGGAGAAGAGAACAAGATGCCTTACTGTGAAACTTGTTAGTTTTGCTTACCTTGAGAGTCTGTCAACACTGATCAGTTTTAGCAGTTTGATACCTCTTTTGATGCTGTGGCTGCATCCAGTAGAATGTTAGGATATGTACTCATATATAAGTCTAGAAGTTTTCGACAAAAAAATGGACCCCAAAAACATGGGTTGACTCTTTTTGAAAAAGCAACAATCTCTGAGGAGAATGGCAAAAGGCGAGAGCCAAATCTATCCTGGGAGAACCTAAAAGAAGCAGCAAGCCCTTTGGTCTTTCCACCATGGGGCCATTTCCTGCCTTTTTGAATGCCTGGATGGGAAAAGATTATAGCAGAAGTCAGAGATGGGAGACCTCCTGAGGCAGTGCTGGGGCTTTTCCCTCTCCATGGGAGAATACTCCGTTTATCCACAGGTCATATCAAAACCTGCCCTCAACCTATACCTGAGATACACGAGTATACAGTACTTGAAATACTTTACTAAGGGGTTATATCCCTTTTCTTCCCAGATGTATATCACTAAGAGATTTGTAAAGAATGCCAATGATCTCATAATGTGGATACATGGCAGGTTAAATTATATCCAATTGCTGTCACCTTACTATGAGCAGATGGATGCTTAGGTTCTAGCCTAATGTGTGCTGGTATGTGGGACAGGCAGGGATTTCTATCTGTAAGGAATACGAATACAAAACCAGAGTGCTTTTGTAACTTTGAATGTAACAAATCATTTTGAATTATTGGAATGTTATCCTTCATTCAAAGGAGGAAGACCTTTTTACTCTTGACAAGAGGTGGAAGGGAATTATAGATGAAGCTGGTCAAAAAGCCTGGAATTCATTCATACATTCTCTTTCTTTCTTTGGCATGCATTCCCTCCCTTCTTTCTCTGTGCTTGCTTTCTCTTGGGGCTTAAGCAAGGAGCAGCTGCAATCCAGAATAGTATTTTTTCTCTCTCTCTCTGCAGATTCTCGTAATCTGCTTAGTTCTTTTTCTGTTTTTTTGTTTTGCCTTTTGGCCTAAATCTCTCATCAATGGGGAGAGAAATGGCTGACAGTTCAGTGCATTGCCAGCTTGTAGCATCTTTTTAAGCCCTTGAACTGGAAGGACTGAAAATAGGCTAGGTGTCCTTTATTGTATCTACTAGCAATGGAGGACAAGGGCCAGGTGAAGAAATTGAATTTTATTTTACAAATAATGAAATGATCAGTGGATTAACTCATTGCAGAGGCTTATAGACAGAGCTGGGGGAGTAACATAGTTCTGTTAATATTCAACGGTTTATGCTCCCCCCCCCCCCCCCCCGCCCCAACTATGAAAGGTATAACTGCTAAATGCAGTTGTGTCTTAACACAGGGTAACTTCACACATTAACTTTACTAAGAACAAAATTGGAGATTTGGAACTCGGCAGGATTGTGGCCTCAGTTTAGTTGTTTGGTCATTACAAGATGCAGACTCATTAAACTGTTGAGAAGGAAAGACACATAATACAAAGTGCCTTCTGCTGTAATATGGGTGATGCCAAAGTAGGGCTGTGCGTATAATTCAGATGTTGGTGGTGGTTTTTAAAAGGAACTTCAAACTGTGTTAGGTACTTTTGGGAAACTACCAGTAAGTGTCAGTTTGTACTACAGCACAACTAGTCTTAACTAACTGCTGTGTACTGGGGAGAAAAGGAGGACCTGAGGCTATTACCTTTCGAAAGCAACTTCCCAAACTTTAGATTCAAACGATATATACTTCTGTCAGTGGATCAATGTAATAAGACACCTGATATACGTAAGCAATTTATCTCTGGCCTTTTTCCATTTCACAGTATTGACTGCCTTGCGGTGTTTGCAATTTTGTACTGGCACACTTCATATCTTCAGTTCTTCCTACTTGGAATCACTTTCATGGAGGAAAAATATGTGAGACCAACATGAGCTTTGTTCCAAAAGTATGTTTTGGTAGATCTATTTTGCGGTATTTTCATACATAGCCATATGTATGAAATGCACCACATTTACACATCTATCCATATCATGATCCAGTGTAGTGCAGTGGTCTGAGCATTGGACTGCTACAACCCAGAAAGCCAAGGTTTGAATCCCTGCTTTGTGATGGAGATCCACAGGGTGACTTTGGACAAGTCCCATTCTCTCAGCTTCAAGAAGAGACAATGGCAAGCTACTCTTAGCAAACCTTGCCCCCCAAAAATCAATGTTAGGTTTGCCTTAAGCTCACCCTAAGTCAGAAATGTTCTGAACATACATAACAACAACAACAAGCATCTTGAGACAATGTAACTAATTAGAAAAGCTAATAATGCTTGGCAAAATGGAAGGCAATATGAAAAGAGGAAGATCGCTCTACAGGTGGATTGATTCAGTCAAGGAATTTGCAGGACCTGAACTGGGAAAGATGGCCAGTGATTTTGGAGGTTTCTCATTCATCGTGTTGCCATAAGTCAAAATTGGATCAATGGCAAATAACAACAAAAATTTACTAATTACAGTACCTGATCTGCCAGTATTTCCCTCCCTTTATTTGTCATTTTTTCTGTGTCAAAGTCAACATTATAGGTGGTTGTTGTATAGCAATATGTGATGGCATTATATAAACAGTAGCAGTTTCTGGTCTCCATCAAGAGCTAAAGTGTACCTTCTAAAGCAGTGGCTCCCAACCTTTTTTAACCAGGGACCTCTCTCCAACATCAGTATCAAAAGGCTTACAAATCAGTTTTTGGTCAACTTTACTTTTGGTTTGGTTATTTGGGGTGCCGATTCAGAAAATTGCAATGGATAGACCACATCAGCTGTAGTTTCTGATGCAGAACATATGCCATCCATTAGTCACCATTGGCTTGTTCACAGAGAACTATATTTAATGCGCCTCGGCATTATGAGAGGATTTTGTGAGACCAGTCTCACTCTTGTTGCAACAGTGTAGTAATGGTGAGGCCGCTGACCATATTTTAGTTCTTGTGGACCACTGGTGGTCCACAGACCACAAGTTGGGAACCACTGTTCTAACGGCTGGAATCTATAAACACAATTACCCAGGACAGTGGTTCTCAACCTGTGGGTCCCCTGATGTTTTGGCCTTCAACTCCCAAAACACCTGGGGACCCACAGGTTGAGAACCACTGACCTAGAAAGATATCAGATTGGAATACAAACCTCTGAATTAATATGTTGATTTCTTCTGTTATACTATAAAAGTACACTGTTAAGATGGTTCTCTAATAAGTCAGGCCCTTGGGTATTTGATGGGTTTATCAGAAGTCCCCGCAAGTGGTTGAGAAGTATGAGTTCAGGTCAAAAGACAAAGGCTTAGATCTAATTGTTAATCCAACTAGAATCAGTGGAAATTGTCTGAGTCAATATTTACCGTTTCAGTGAAGTTGGCTGTCATTGGGACTAACACTTAGATCTAAGCTAAAATGTATTTACTTGGGTAGTAGAGGTCATATCTATTTGTCATTTCATATTCCTGAGATTCATTTGTGGACTCTTATGAGCTACTTCTCCATATGAAAGTTGACATTTCCAGTAAAATGGAAAGCAATTTTAAATCCTTGCCTTGTTTAGCCATTCTGTATGAATGCACCACAAATATCTCTTAAAGCTCCCCCCCTCCCTTTTAATAAAATGAGCCTCAACCATTTCCACTTTGCAATCAATGCACTTCGGTTACCCAACATACACTTATAAGTCATTCCTAGGACATGCTCTGAAAGGAGCCTGGGATAATGATCCATCCTTGGATTCAAGGAATTATTTGAGGTCATGTATAGATTCCCAGGTTAGCGATCCACACCAGTAGATACTAGCCATGTAATGAGAGTGTGCAAGTTAAGACTCAAGATTTTAAGATGTTGCACTGGAATGGAAGAGGGGTTGAGATGAAGGGGAGGATTTACCATTGAAAGGCAGTAATACCCCTTTGTCTCTTAAAGGCCCCCAGTATAGGAAAAAAAGACTGATTTCCCCTCTCTTCTACCTGCTTTTCACGAATCCCATCCATTTTACAGTCTGAGAGAGTTTTCAGTTTTCATTTCAACATCTTGAGTATTCTGCTCAGTGTCAGAGGCGGCCTTGATGGCAAGACGTCTTGCTACAGATAAAACCGATCCGGTTGCTTCCTTTGCTAACTCATGTTTTTTTTCCTGCTTTCTTTCTGCTTGTTTCCCCCCAGCGCTGCTGTTGGCATTGGTTTCTATGGCAACAGCGAAACCAACGATGGGGTTTATCAGCTGATCTACGCCCTTGATAATGCTAATCACACGCTCTCCGGGATTGATTCGCTGGTAAGACTGGTTGAATTACTCCTCCTTTTGGTCTTCTTCTAATACAGATATTCTGGCTCTGGCAGGTTTGATATTTTCCCCTAGAATGGCCAAAATTGGAAGTAGCAGTCTTAAGAATTTCAACATTTTGGGGGGAAGCACCAATTGAAATGTCTCTTCCTAGACAAGACTGTAGGGACCAACACCAACAAGGCAATTGGTTTTGTTTTTGTTTTGTTTTTTACCAAAGCCGTTTCTGTCTCTATTACCTCTGGATAGAAAATGCCCATTGATCCTGCTTTGATTGGTTTGCTTCTGGGAGCTTGTGCATTTGCACAAAAGGGAGCGACAAGAAGAAATGGGAGGCAAGCAATCTTGGTGCATCCTTCTTAAATAGTGCTGGGTACAAAATTGCTCGTATTGCTCCCTGGTCCCAGTTGATGCACCTTGTATTGATGCCATCTGGGAACAAAGAGTAGGTCTTAAGGTGAAGGTGAACTCTTCACTAAGGTTCTTCTGGAAATGAGGATTTAAATGAAATACAAAGATACAGAATGAGGCACGCCTGGCTCGATAGCAGTACGTGTGAAAAAGATCTTAGAGTCCTTGTGGACAACAAGTTAAACATGAGCCAACAATGTGATGAGGCAGCTTACAAAGCCAATGGGATTTTGGCCTGCATCAACAGGAGTATAGTGTCTAGATCTAGGGAAGTCATGCTACCCCTCTATTCTGCCTTGGTCAGACCACACCTGGAATACTGTGTCCAATTCTGGGCACTGCAATTGAACGGAGATGTTGACAAGCTGGAATGTGTCCAGAGGAGGGCAACTAAAATGATCAAGGGTCTGGAGAACAAGCCCTATGAGGAGTGGCTTAAAGAGCTGGGCATGTTTAGCGTTCAGAAGAGAATAGAAGGTGGAGAGGAGACATGATGGCCATGTATAAATATGTGAGGGGAAGTCATAGGGAGGAGTGAGCAAGTTTGTTTTCTGCTGCCCCGGAGACTAGGATGCAGAACAATGGCTTCAAACTACAGGAAAAGAGAGTCCACCTGAAGATGAGAAAGAACTTCCTGACTGTGAGAGCTGCTCAGCAGTGGAACTCTCTGCCTCAGAGTGTGGTGGAGGTTCCTTCTTTGGAGGCTTTAAAACAGAGGCTGGATGGCCATCTCTCGAGTGTGCTTTGAGTGCAATTTCCCTGCTTCTTGGCAGGGGGTTGGACTGGATAGCCCAAAAGGTCTCTTCCAATTCTTCTATTATTTGAGGAGTCCTAACCTCACTGCCTGTTCCTGATCCGCTGCCATTACAGTCAAAGTACATGCACCCAGAAAAAAGAAGCAAAGTGGCTACGCCATAGCTGCATTGTGCCATAGCCACCCTTTTCCAAGCAAGCATAGGAAGTGTGTGGTGTCCTCCATGCTGTCAGACTGTGACTTCCATTAGCCCCAATGAAGATGGACGCTGCAGTCAGCAACATCTGGAGGAACACATATTTCCTATCACTGCTCTATGGCACTTTTCCCCCTCTGCTCAACTTTCCACTTTTATTACACACTGTATTGTAGCCTTTGGTGTATGTATTAATGCAAGGAATTGGGTTCAAATGTATCCACTTATTTCAGGGTGTATCATTACCTCTTTCCTTAAGCTTTTGTAATCTGCCTTTCAGACTGGCTGAGTCTTGGAGAGGCAGCTGTTTTCTTTTGCAGCTACCAGGATTGTGTGTCGTTTACTGGTCAGAAGCCATGCTGGCAACTTTTCCCCCTGCAAAGGTCATGTTGGCTACAAACATAGAAAAATTAGTTGTGAGGAGGGAGAAACTAAGCTCAAGATAGGATTTTTTTTTCTCTGGCTAGTGAGAAAACAGAGCTTTGTAGCACAGGAAAATGTCTTGGTAGCATTTGTTCTCAAAGCTTAGCAGCTGTGTCAGTTTGAAGTCATAGAGAAAAGTTATGGCCTGGCCAAACCCATAGAACCCTGGTGTTTGGCGAGGGGAGATCTTGTGATAGCTAAGAGACAATTGTTGGACCCCAGAACCATCACGAAGTGAGAGTACCCAGGATGAAGTGAGAGTTAGGAGAAAAGGAAACTCCAGCTACTACTGATTTATAGATGCATGTGTGGATGGATTATGGGTAGGTACTGTAGTAAACAATGAAATCTGAGGCAAATGAAAAGCACATTCTATGTGTGTATGTGTCTGTACCTTTACATATCTGCTCTTACATCTCTTGAAGTAAACCGCAAAAGCTTGTACCACTATGTTTTTAGTCTTTGAGGTGAATAAGAAGCTTTGTTCTGATTTTTTTCCTGCAGCAGGTTAATATGCCTACCCCCTGGAAAGTGCTCTATGGATGTATTTGTGATAGTTAACTCCAGCAACTCTCTGTCAATTTCACTATAAAAGTGAGATGGATGTAACTATTCCGACTTAGCTGCTTCTTCTAGAATGCAATATTAAGTGTATTAGAAAAGTTTCAGTAAAAATCCTGGACCTTTGTGTATTTGATAGTAAGTGAAAGAAATCCTTTGCCCTGTCAAAACTGAAAAAGAAGTCAAGCTGATTTTGACCTTGCCCTCTACCCATATAAAATATAGAGGATTCACAGATACAAGCTGCTGGTTCTCATGGGTATATTTACTGTCTTTTGCCAGGTCTCCGGCACTACTACGAAGATGAAAATAGCTTTGGAGCAGCACCTGGCCCGGCTGAATGAGATCTTTGCCACTCGAGGAGACTATGTGCAGACGCTCAAGTTCCTGCAACAGATGGCAGACAATATTGTGCTGCAGCTCTCAGGGCTCCCTGTCTGGGGTGACATGACAGTAGACCTGTCTCAGGTTGCCAGTGAGGTCAGCTATGTGGAGTATTATAGGTGAGAGCAGATGTCACTGAGGAGAGATTTGTGGCCTCTGAATGGCACGCAAGATCCCGTTGTTCCATCTGGGAATTCTGGCATATCATGAATGAGTAAGCATGTTAGTGCATGTTGTTCTGTTGCTTACACTTTCTCTCTCTCCAAATCAGGAGAGAGTGATTTAAACCCCAGTAATGAAGAGAGGGCTCAGAGGGTGATAGAGTACAGTCCCCATTGTTTTGCTCACTATTTCTTGCAATGAGCAACAGAGTTGTGCTTAAAAGGCAGCCCAGCTCTTGATCTGTCTGTGAACTCTCTGGGTGTTCATCTAGGTGAGAAGGGACTGCTGATGAGGAGTGGATAAAAGATGAATCAGTTTCAATGAGGATTGCTGGCCTTCCTAATCACCTGCCCACAGTCCAACTCAGAGCATCTTCTTCCCGCAAAGCTACTCCTAGTGGGTTTGTGTGTGTACTCTCAGCGTTCAGAGGCAGGCTTTAAAAGAAAAATACTTCTTTAGTCCATCTGTCAGCATATCTCATTCCATAACAGGCCCAACTGACATTTCTGTTCATGAGAATGAACAGGCATTTGGAGGAGCAGATGGCACTTTCTGTCTGTAGTGGACAATCTTGCCCGTGAACAACTCTAAATAGGGGACCTTGTAGCACTTGGTATTAGTGGGAGGAGCTCTCTGCTACATTAAGATAGAAGAGTGTGTGGTCCAAGAAAGTATTATCTCCAAAGTCAAAACAAAAGAGACATGAGGGAGATGCAGCTTGCAAGTCTCATATCCCTTCTGAATGAGCACCTCTTACTTGGAATTTCAAAATCCCAAATATTGCAAAAACTAAAATGTTTTCTGATGGTTCCCTGTACACAAACTTTGTTTCAGGCACAAAATGATAAAAATACTGTCAGGCTATGCTCATAAGATGTGTATAAAACTTAAATGAATTTTGAGTTTAGACTTGAGTCTCACCTCCAAAATATCTCATTATGTCCATAAAGGTATTCAAATTCCAAAACACACTTCTAGTCCCAAACATTTCAGATAAGCGATACTCAATCTGTACTTTGTGACTTTGTTGACTTACTTTTGTGGCTGTTGTCATGGGTTGGTTTTGCAGGCTGGTAAACTGGTGTACCAGCAGTTAAGAGGCCACTAGTTCAAAGATCATTGATTTAGTCTTGATTAATTGGAAGGTTATGGGAAGCTTTGATACAGACAGTACTTGGCCTAGCTGGTTTACAGAATGTAATGAACGAGATGCGGTTAGTCGTTTGACTGAAAGAGGCACGACTTAATATGAAGGAAAAAGATTGCCTTTTTAGAGGTGGGGAAAGTTTCCTGTATTTATAAAAGAGTGAGTTGGTGAGTGATGAGAACCTATGCTTTGTTATTAGATTTCTCAGAACAGCTGTCTGTCTTCCTGGAATTACATGTGCTTTTCCGGCACATCTTTTGAGTGCAGAAGGTTGTCTAAGCACTGGGGAAGGTTTAGCCTGAATACGCATCTCTTGTCCAATTGTGCCCAGAAATTAGCATAAAACCACATGGGTTTTCGTAGTCTTAATGATTTATTGTCCATTCATATCAGCTAGCCATCCATAGGATGCCTTTCTTAGAAAAACTTTGTCAGCTGCAAATTGTTGAGTTCATAAAATAAAGAATGCAAAATACTATTAAATTCTTGTTGCTAATTGCATTATTTTAAAGCACAATTAACCCCCCCCCCCCCCCCGGGTGGCACAGCAGGTTAAACCACTGAGCTGCTGAACTTGCTGACTGAAAGTTTGCCAGTTCGAATCCGGGGAGTAGGGTGAGCTCCCGCTGTTAACCCCAGCTTCTGCCAACCTAGCAGTTCAAAAACATGGAAATGTGAGTAGATCTATAGGTTCTGCTTCACCGGGAAGGTAATGGCATTCCATGCAGTCATGCCAGCCTTGGAGGTGTCGACAGACATCGCTGGCTCTTTGGCTTAGAAATGGAGATGAACACCACCCCGAAGTCAGACATGACTAGACTTAATGTCAGGGGAAACTTTTACCTTTATCTAAAAATTCTAGACAGGTATTTTAATAATTATTTACACATCTGTAATTCTGTATTAACTATTCCTTTTCAAATGAATGCTTTAATGTTAAGCTTTCAGATTTTGCATGTATGTGAATTAGGAAACTATTGTTTCATTGAACTCTGCACATGCTTCCCTGGCAAATGTCCTTTGAAGAGTGTAAGCATGAAAGACAGTGTTTATAACATTTGCCCCTACCACTCACATAAAAGCTTATGATTGCAAGTAGAAATCAGGCACCATGAATTACATGTTAAATGAGGCAGCAGAACGATCACCTGACTGTTGCCAGAGTAATTGTGGACAAAGCCTGAACAATTACATTTTGGAATTTTCAAAGAAAAGACCATGTTAGCCTGTCACAAAATAAAAAGAAGAAAAGAAATCTTGCTGTCGCAAGAATATTACTAGATATCTTTACCTTCTTTTCCCCTTTTATTTTGGAAGACCACTACCCTTTCTCAGCATGACCAATGGCGATGATTTGAATGTTTCTTGGAGTAGGTAAAGGTAAAGCTTTTCCCCTGGCATTAAGTCCAGTTGTGTCCAACTCTGGGGGTGGTGCTCATCTCAATTTCTAAGCCAAAGAGCTGGCATTGTCCATAGACACCTCCAAGGTCATGTTGACGGCACGACTGCATGGAGTGCTGTTACCTTCCCGCAAAAGCGGTATCTATTGATCTACTCACATTTGCATGTTTTCGAACTACTAGGTTGGCAGAAGCTGGAGCTAACAGCGGGAGCTCACATTGCTCCCCGGATTAGTAGACCAAAAAATAAAAAATAAAAAAGAGGTTTTTGTCACCTATGCACTAGTTTTAGGACATAGAAACCAGCCTTATTCCAGTTGAGAGTCTTTGTTCATCTATCCCAGCATTGTCTGCTCTGACTGACAAAAACTCTCTAGATTCTCAAGCAGTAACTCTTGCCCTTTCAGAGGGGACTAGAAATAAGATTAGAGTAGGCCTACTTGTTTTGTTTACAGATTTAGCCCACATTCCCAGCAGTGGACCCCCAAGCTGGCTGCTTCCTTGCACCCAGCAAATGGCCACAGGAAATAATATTAATTAAGTCCTCTCGGACTCCAGGAGGTGACAGAAACAGAAGAAGAATCCACTGATCTCTCTCCCTTCTGCATTGTTAATGAGTCAGAAATCCATTGAATACAACAGACCCAGCAGCATCTGCAGGGAGGGAGGAAGGATCAAAGCCCCCCTTTTGCCACTGTCCTCAGGGAGAGAAGGAGAGCTGCTCACATGTCCTAGAAGAGGAGGGGCGGAGGAGGATGCTGCAGGACAGTGGCTCTCATGCACAGGCCGGCACACAGAGCTCAGTGCACACTACAGCCTATCCCTGCCTTTGTCCCTTTGAAATAGCACCACCCACAAGGATGCCAGATAAACCAGCTGAATCTAAGTAGCCTCTCTTCCTAAAGTGTGAATTCTGTTTGTGATGATTGGGTCTTATTTCTTGTCAAGGATCAGAATTCTGCAACCTGCATAACTTCTTCCAAGTGAATATGATCCTCTCTGGTAACAGAGGTGGAATTCTATAGGGCAAGGAATGAAGTCCATGCTTCTTGAGTCCAAGCTTTCCTCCCCAGTTAGAGACTGTTTTCCAGTCTTTCTCATGCTCCTCTCTTGCTCTAGCCTTCTGGATATTTTATCCTATAACTTCCATAACACTAGATCACATGTTTGCTGTAGTAGAAAAAGCTGGTCCAAATGGCTCTATTGTAGACTACAGGTACCTGTGATACCCCCCCCCCCCCAAGATTTTTTGGTGATTTTTGGGTGAAAAAATGCAACCCTCCTTTTTCTATACCCACTTCCCCACATGAAAAAACTAAACTATCTGAAAGCAAAAGTGCAAATTAGGGTGTCATTTAATTTTCAGCTAATACRTTTTTGAATGTGAGATGATATGTCTAAGCATAGGAAGCCAGCATGGTGTAGTGATTTACGTGTAGGACTACAACTCTGGAGCCCAAGGTTTTCATCCCTGCTTTGGTATGGATACCTCCTGGGATCCTTTGAACAAGTCACACTTTCTCAGCCACGGAGGAAGGCAAATCCACTCCCGCTCTGAACAAATCTTGCCATAAGAACTTGAAGGCATTTAGCAACAATGGCTCAGTATAGGGGCAAATATTGAAGACAGTATTTCACAGTGATATGGGAGTGCGTCACTGAATGACCACAGAATTTCATTGGTAAAACAAGGGTGGAGAAGTTACAATCAGAACTATATAGATTATAGATTAAACCCATGTGCTGGCAGAACAGCTGATTGAAAGGTCGGCGGTTCAGATCCAGGGAGCGGGGTGAGCTCCTGTCTGTCAGCTCCAATTTCCCATGTGGAGACATGAGAGAAGCCTCCTACAGGATGATAAAACATTCAGGTATCCCTTCAGCAACATCCTTGCAGATGGCCAATTCTCTCATACCAAAAGCAACTTGCAGTTTCTCAAGTCGCTTCTATCAGCGTATGCAGAATTATTTTGTGTACTATTTTATACCTGGCTCTCCTACCTCTTTACTCACTTATATACAAGAACACAATACACAAATATAAGTTTATTATATTGTATGTAGGTGCCCCAAGTCCAATTTCTCCTTTCTCTGGTTATTAATGACCCCAAATGCTCTCTGACTGCTGCCTTCTTCTTGAGTTCATCGCCTGCAGTCAATAAAGAGGCAAAACCTCATATTCGTGGCATCAAGTAGTGTTAACCAGCAGATGTCCGTGTTAAGCCTTGTTGAAGGAAGGCGAAAAATGACACATAACTAGCCAAATTTAGCTGGTTATTTCTAAGCTCTGCTCCCAGGTTAGTGTTCAGAGAATTAGAGCTCAACTGCTTAGATTTAAACAAAGCTATGTCTTATTCTGCTCTTCAAAGTGCAACTTCAACCTTTTGAATTCTAAATCCCTTGAATATTTTTTTCGTTTTTCAGATCATTGATGTATGTGTGCTTCTTGAATTTCAGTCTGTCTTGTAATGCGATAGTGGTGCTGGCGCTTAAACAAATTCAGTGGTTTTGAGGGACTGCAGTCTCTGAAGCTTCATATTGATTGCCTTGCTAGGGGATTGTCTGTGGTCTCCAATCCTGGAGGCCTTTCTTGAGTCTCATCAGCTTCCTCTCTCTGCAGATGGCTTTCCTACCTCTTGCTGTTCATTCTCAACCTGGTGATCTGCCTTATTGCCTGTCTGGGGCTAGCTAAGCACTCCAAATGCCTGCTTATTATGTAAGTACACCTTGCATGAGGATGGATGGGGGATGATGGGGTTTTAATGCACCCTTTGCGCATTCATAGTGCCAAGTAAGCCATCACTGTCAGATTTTTTATTTATTTATTTATTTATTTAAAACATTTATACTCTGCCCTTTTCACCCTGAAGGGAACTCGGGGCGGAGAACAACATAAAAACAGCAAACATTCAGTGCCATGACATAAAACAATAAACATACATAAACACTAAAATCAGTTATCTCGATGTTAAAATCCACTGTTTAAAACAGTCTCAAATCATCCACATCAAATCTGATTGGCAGGGTAAGGTTTCCTATTGCTGCCTTATTGCACTGTCCCAAAGGCTTGGTTCCACAGCCAGATCTTCACCATCCTTCTGAAGGACGGGAGAGAGAGGACTGATCTAATTTTACCAGGAAGGGAGTTGCATAACTGAAAGGAAATCCTAAGAAGTCCCTCTGTCTCCTCCCCCCAGTCGCGTCTGTGACAATGGCGGGACGGAGAGCAGGGCCTCCTCGGAAGATCTTAATCTCTGCGGTGGTTCATAGAGGGAGATGTGTTTGGACAGGTAGATTGGGCCGGGGTCATTTAGGGTTTTATAGGCACTTTGAATTGTGCTCGGTAGCAAACTAGCAACCAGTGGAGCTGATGTAACATAGGAGTTGTGTGCTTCCTGTATGCTGACCCAGTTATTAACCTGGCTGCCTCTCGTTGGACTATTTGAAGCTTCTGAACAGTCTGCAAAGGCAACCCCACATAGAGCACATTGCAGTAGTTTATCCTAAATGTAACGAGAGCGTGGACCACCATGGCCAAGTCTGACTTCCCAAGGCGCCACTGGCACACAAGTTTTAATTGTGCGAAAGCCCCCTTAACCACTGCCGCAACCTGAGATTCCAGGCTCATCGATGAGTCCAGGAGAAGTCCCAAGCTATGAGCCTGCACCTTCAAGGGAAGCTTAACCCCATCCTGATATCCTGGAGGCTAATAGGGTGCCACCCCACCACACTCCAAAACAGGGGGTGACTTATTTCTGTTTGCAACCCTGAAGGAGCAGGTTCTTTTTAAGGAAGTCTTTGAATTCTTGTGGTCAGTATAGTATTAGTAAAACAGCTCCATTCTCCCTACATTTTCTTTTCTGGGGTGTCTCAATACACGCACGCACGTGAACTGAGACTCATTCCAGCATCGATGTGGTCAGAGATTGCTTCCCCTTGATGAAAACCCCTTAATTAATCAGAGCACAGTCAAGGGTGAAAAGGGCATTCGGAAGTTTGCCAGATAGATATTATGAGTGTTCCCCAGACACTGTTTTATGTGTGGCCTGGGATGGTGGGTTAGTTCTCTCCTCCTCTCAGCCCCCCCTGCTTTCCTTTTCTGTGATTACAACCAAAACAAGCTAATAAGGCAAAAGGAAGACTGGATTAAGAGAGAGGGTTGGAGCAGCCACAGTTACTTGTGTCTGTTCCCCCCCCCCCTTTTTTTGTCACAAAATTTTGTGTGCAGGAATGTTTTGATGTGTCAGTCCCCCAAATTGTGAGGAATCTTTGGTGCTTATGCAGTTGCTCCAACACCATATTTTCAGTCCAGAAATGTTCCAAAACTGAAATGTTAAGCAAGTATGATCTGGGTAGTGCACAACTTGTTTTTCCTAATAAGCACATGTAACTCAGTTAATTGGTCTTGAAAATGGTTTTGAAGCATATTGAAATACTGTGTACATCTGTGGTGCTGAGATGCCTTGTTCCCAGTCTCGCTGCCTTCCCATTGCATCCCAGTTCTGCCCTCCTACCATTTGCTTTTTGTCTACAGGATCCTGTGCTGTGGGCTTTTCACACTCATTCTCAGCTGGGCTTCTTTTGCAGTGGATGTATCTGCAGCAGTGGTAAGCACAACGCTGGCGCCATAACTGCTTGCTCTCTGTCTGCCTTTTGGTGAAGCTAAGATTGCATTAATTCTGAAACTATATCTTTGAGGGTAGGCAATGTAGTGTCCACCAGAGTTTTGTATTACATCTCCCATAATTCCTAAGCATCAGTTATGGCAGTTCTGGACCAAAATATGGTGGCCTCCACTTGCTTCAGCTGCTGTTGCTACCTCCGTGTGTCATATGCACATCTTTTTTGCTACCTTTCTGACCAATCCATTCTATCTCACTAACAAAGGGAATCATTCTGCAGTCACCAAATTGCACTTGCAAGCATCCTACTGATGCTGCAAAGGTAGAGAAAACATTATAGCCTCCTTGCTATTCCTATAGTAAGCTATACTTCCAGATACTACTCCCACCCAAATTTCCTTATTCATTTAATGCTGATGTCCTTTGCCTAAATGTATGATGGCTGGAGGTTGACGCTCTGCAGGGTGACCTCACTTACTTATCCCTGGCCTTGGTGAGCTGTAAAATGGTGCAGTTCTCCCGTTCATTTTGATGCAGGTAGAGCAGTCCCTGTGACCTTAGAAAGAATGGTTCACAAGGATTCTTGCATGAGTTACACCCCCATTGCTTAAAAAAAGATTTTTTTTCCCCAGCCTAAACATTGAGAATTGCACCGCAGAATGATGTGTGGTATGTTTAAATCATGCACCATAGCTTCCAATCATGTGCCATTTTGAAAAAAAAGGGGGAAGGTGCAGCCTTCTGAGATCTAGGGCAAGGGGGTAAGGAGTGGGTAGAAGCTACTACTAACTTCATTTCCTGTTGTTTACAAACTCGTCTGTTCAATTTTTCACCTGGGCTGGATGTTCCACAGAGATACAGTTGAATAGGAGGCATTTCCTTGTTTACATACCCACTTCATTTTAATGGTTTTGTGAAAGTTATTATCTAGGAGGTTAAATTTGCTTTTTGCATATGCTCATAAACAAAGATTGTTAGTTGAGGACAAAAAGTTGAAAACTAATACTTCCCTTAATTTCACGTATACATTAAGTCTTCTAAACTTGGACATGTGGTCTCTTGGTACTAGATTGGACATTCACATGAGAGATGTAGGGCAGGAGTGGCCAATGTTTAAGCTTAGCCTTATGACCTCTTCAGTTCCACTTCTGGTCATTGTCATGACTCTTTTCAAGCATTTTTCATTCTCCTAGGGTACCAGTGATTTCTGTGTGGCCCCGGATAAGTTCATTGTGAACATGACAAAAAGCGACCTAAGTGCAGGTAAGGACACTGCTGTTTTGATGAAGACATTTAGCTCTAATGACAAGAAGGCTAACTTTTATTGAGTCATGCTAATGTTTACCATCTGTCTTGTTGAGTTGCCTGCAATAACGGTATTTATTTCTTATTGTAAATTTGTTTTTATAGGTTATTGTTTTACATATGCATATTGTTTTGTATGGTCTTTTATATAATGTTGTAAGCCACTTTGGGTCCTGTTTAGGGAGAAAAGTGGGATATAAATAAAGATTTATTATTATTATTGGTTTTGTTTGAGATGTCATAGGGGCAAGACATGCTTGCAGGCCTATCCAGTCTATGACTTTTAAATCACATTCTATGATTATTGGGCTTTAACTTTTGTCTTGGGTATTTTAATATGTGTATGTTTTAATATATGCTTTTATTGTCTCATTTTAACTAATCATGTGCCATTTTGCCTAAATGTGATTTTATAGATTTATTTATGTTGTGCCCCACCTCAAGCTAAAGGGAGAAACAGATAATAAATGGTTATTGTTATTGTTATTATTAAGATCTAAAACTGATTGAAGTTTATCAGGCTGGCAGTCACAGACCCCTGCAGTACAACCTTCTCCAACCTGATGCCTATTATTATTATTATTATTATTATTATTATTATTATTATTATTTGAAACACAACAAGATGAGTCCACAGCAGACACTCTGCTGGCTGTTGTATTGGATCACACGTCGGACGCTTCCCAAGTGTCTAGGACTGTGTGATGTATCGGCGAATAATGCGTGCAGAACCCAGTAAGGTGGCCTTCTGCAGCTGGCAGATGGTAATTTTGTTTGTGTTTAAGTGCAGACCAGTATTGTGTTTAAGTGCAGACCAAGGTCTTTCACCACTGTACCCAGTATGCCAATCACCACTAGGACCACCTTGACTGGTTTGTGCCAGAATCTTTGCAGTTCGATTTTTAAATCCTCATATCGTGTCAGCTATTATTATTATTATTAGTAGTAGTAGTATGCTTTTTTCTCTAAAAGTAGACCCAAAGTGGCTTACAGGAAAACCAAACAGTACAATTAAAACATAAAATATACAAACATGAAAATTAAATTAACGTAAAAGGTAAAGGTTTTCCCCTGACATTAAGTCCAGTCGTGTCCAACTCTGGGAGTTAGTGCTCATCTCCATTTCTAAGCCAAAGAGCTGGCATTGTCCGTAGACACCTCCAAGGTCATGTGGCCAGCATGACTGCATTAAACATGAACAGTAATAAAAAAATAAACCCTTAAAATTGATTAAAAACATATCAACTGCAGAGGCTATTGAAAGGGTACACCCTCTCCCCCATTTTTCCTTAATCCTTTCTGTACGCATTGATTCTTTTCTATAACTGCTCCTTTCCAATGTGTAGAATCTGCTTTTAAAAAGAAAGGGATCAGGGAATGTAATTTAGGATACACACAGAGATCATGATTGTTGAGCAAACACAAACAGAATGGAACTTCCAGTGTAGATGATGATTATGTTGATTAAAGCTAAGAGTTAAAAATGCCCTGAAGAGTGATCTTGTCCCACTGCACAATAATACACCATTGTGTTTTTTCTTATTTATCACTCTCATTCTTGAAATCAAAATGTCCGAATCTTAGCAAGAGAAAAAACACTTGTATCTGTAGCCAAGCTTAGCATTATGCAAAACTGCCCAATTTGTATAATTTATTGCTTGCAAATGACTTCGTTTTGCTTTGAGAAAATTCAGTCCGGAATACATACATTTATGAAGAGACAGAGGCAGTAAGCAGTGGAAGAAAGGGTGCTCTCATAGATTTATGCTATACCCAAGGTTCAGCACAAATCTTACTAATGTATAACAGAGCATGATGTGAATACTGTGTTCCCATTTCACATTTGCTGTATACAGCAAATAATAGCTTCTGCATCTGTCAGTATCTGAGAAGCCATGAGCTTTGAGCAGTGCTCCTCATGTCTACATTTACCAACTGCACAAAAAGAGAAAGAATGTGTGCTTGAGAAAAAGAGAGAGGAAGGGAGAGAAAAGGAGGAGGAGAAGGAGGACAAGAAGCAGCAGCAGAAGTAGTGGTGGCGCAAAGAGAGCTTGCTAAGAAAACAAAAGATTAACTGGGGAGGGAGGCTAAGAAAACATCCTTAACTCAGCTGAGTATCCAAAATCTCGCTTCAGATTCTTGATTACATGACTCATGGAAAATACAGTTCCCCCTCTCCATCTGGGTTTGACAGCAATTATAACTCTCAGACTTTTCTTCCAGCAGCTCCTCTTCCTAGTCAATATCAATAGGGCAGATTAAACTTTTTGGGAGGTGCTAACCCAGCTGCAGAAATCTAGCATTAGAACCTGAGTTTTTTAAGTAATGTTGGCGTATTGTAGATAGGTGCCATGCTCTTGACTCTCGTTTTGGTGTACTTTGCTTTGCAGAGATTGTTCAGTACTACCTATATTGTACCCAAAGTCTCACCAATCCCTTCCAGCAGGTGAGTACTTGACCTTATCTGTACATATCAACTTTTTTTTTTCATGTCAGGAGCGACTTGAGAAACTGCAAGTCGCTTCTGGTGTGAGAGAATTGGCCATCTGCAAGGACATTGTCCAGGGGACGCCCAGATGTTTTGATGTTTTACTATCCTTGTGGAAGGCTTCTCTCATGTCCCTTGATAGAGGGAGCTCATCTGCGTTCTCCCCAGATTCAAACCTCGGACCTGTTGGTCTTCAGTCCTGCCAGCACAAGGGTTTAACCCATTCCACCACCGGGGGCGCCTATATATTGACAATGAGAAATCTGCATTGCTATGTCTCTGCATTTCTATGTCTCTATTCCATCTGCAGTAGGATAAGGGAACTCATAACTTTGTTCTAGCAGTGGTCTTGCCATTATATTATAGTTTCTGTTTCCAGGCTTGTTAGATTGATGAATTAATTAAGCCATTGATATAATTGTCAAATTGCAAAGCATTTTTAAGTACTCATAACTGCCAAACCCCAAGTAACATGAATCACTGATTGTTAAACAAAAAATTGAACATAATTAACCATTGAAATAACGAATGCTGTTTTGTGTTACTAAAAGTATGTAATGGATGTGAAGTAATGAATCAGTTTTATTCCATCAATTTTGTTATGAGGGGACTTGCCTTTCTATGGTGAAGTCAGTCTAGAAAAGGAATTATTTGTCTAGCCATGATTGTTTTGTTGTTGTTGCTGCTGCTGTTGTTGTTAATCCTTTATTTTTCCTACTTGGGGACTCGTGTCAGCTTACAGCTATTAAACCAACTTAGCTAAGAATTCACAATGTAGAAAAGCTTAAAATGTGATTAAACTATCAAACAATTAAAGTGTGCTTAAATCATAAATCATTTAAAGGAATGCAACAAAGAGAAAGTAACAGCAGCCTCCTGGGTTCACATTAGATGCCTCAGAAGAAGGACCTTCCCAGAAGATCTCAAGACATTTCAATATCATCTCAATACCATTTCATCATGAAATCCAGGTCCAGGTCCCCTCATGGAAAATGAGTTTCAGCTTCCCTAACACTCACCTCCCAGTATTTTGTCTCTTTCTGTGGAAAGGATTGACTGCTTAAGAAAATCAGTCTAAAGAAAGCCCTTTGGTTAGTCTCTGAGAACGGAGGGATACCTTAGCTTGCTCCCTCCTCCATGGGAGAGGAAATCACAGGGAGGAGGGAGCAGGCTTGTTTTCTGCTTCCCTGGAGACTAGGACACGGAACAATGGCTTCAAACTACAAGAAAGGAAATTCCATCTGAACATGAGGAAGAATTTCCTGACTGTGAGAGTTGTTCAGCAGTGGAACTCTCTGCCCCGGAGTGTGGTGGAGGCTCCTTCTTTGGAAGCTTTTAAACAGAGGCTGGATGGCCATCTGTCAGGGGTGCTTTGAATGCAATATTCCTGCTTCTTGGCAGGGGGTTGGACTGGATGGCTCATGAGGTCTCTTCCAACTCTTTGATTCTATGATTCTATTCTGCGTATCCTCTGCATACACTAGGGGCAAGAGATGAACTGACTCCCAGGACTTGGAAAGGGCTGGTATTGAAGTTCTCCTTGTATTTGTATTCTTCACCTTTGAAGAAAACATGGCTAATGCATTGAATATATATTTTTTGCAGGCTCTGACTATTTACCAACGCTCCCTTACGACCATGCAAATCCAGATTCAGGGACTCATGCAATTTGCTGTGCCTCTTTTTCCTACAGCTGAGGTAAGTGGTGCAACACTCTATCATGTTATAGGAATCAGTTTCAAACTTTCTTATCTTAAAATCCACCAGTTGCCGTGACAAAGAATCTGTGTCCAAACCTGTTCACTGTGATAGAAACAAAAAGTCAGCTCACATGTTTACAGGTATTCTGTTCCTGAGTTTATCATGTATTGTAAATGGTGAGTAATGAGTAGAATTATTGGCAGCAAGTAAACAGAAACAAAATTAGTAATTCATTTAGTAAAGGAAACATGTTGATAATGCTGTTAAGCATAAATTTTACTGCTATGGCAATGTAAAATATTAAAAAAAGTAGAAATGCAAATTGCAGTAGCATGACTTGGTATTCCGCTGTCCACATAGACTACTTCTGCATCCTTCTGGTAGTAACATGTACAACATGTACAGAGCTACTGTCCTTTACAACAGCGCAGTGATCATCATTTTCATCTTATATATATACATTCATGCCCTTTACTTCTGCATGAAGCAGGAAAAAATGTTGCCAGAATGGGAAAGGTGCTGTGTCAATAGAAGTTGAGACAGGAATCTCCAAGTTACCACAGCAGTTGAAAACCATTTTCTGAACAGAGAAGTCTAGCTTTATAGGGTTGAGACTTCAGGCGGTACTGATGGAGACTTAATATATATTGTAAATCCCTCAATTTTATAACAACAATAACAACAATAAAATTGTTATTGTTATTATTGTCACATTTTGAGGCAGGGTACACACAATTAAAACATACATATAGAAACAATACCATTAAAATACATAGAACAAAGATTATTGTATTTCATCAATTCCAAGGCTTACTTTTTTGGCGGTACTTAAATTAGCATGCGTTTTAGAACTGATGGTATCTTAGAATCTTAAAAAAATAGTAAATCACCAATACTAACAAAATGTAAAGTTAAAATACATAGTTTAAAATTAACCGGGTAGGCCAATTTATTTAATAATTCTATGATCAAGTAAGCTGTTCAGTTCTGCTATTCAGATCTTAATCATATGGAATTGGGTTTGACTTTTGCTGATTTGCCCTTTCACGTATTTGATAGAAAAGTTATCTCTAAGATAATCTCTAGATTCTCCCATTCAGCTGTGTGACCATAGAGCAGTGGTTCTCAACCTGTGGGTCCCCAGATGTTTTGGCCTTCAACTCCCAGAAATCGTAACAGCTGGTAACCTGGCTGGGATTTCTGGGTGTTATAGACCAAAACACCTGGGGACCCACAGGTTGAGAACCACTGCCATAAAGCCATATTTTAGAACAAGAAATTCCTAGAAAGGTGTTGTTTCAGTAAAAGAAAATGTTATTTTATTCATGTTTTTCCCACTATCCTGTGCGACTATCACCAGAGAATGTGGAGGACTGACTGTATATGATGAGTTGGGAAGTCTGGCATCATCCCATGCTTAAGGGGTTCCTATGGAAGAGGAACCTCTCCCTATATTGTAGAACCTTACATGTTTTTAATGTGGTGGCTGTATCCCTCTGCAGATACTCTGGCCCTGTTAGGCAGCATTTAAATCAGCATAGCAACATATTAGACCACAAATCACACAGTCTTCAGACAGCATGCCAAGTGTCTGTGCTGGCTAGGAATAAGGAGATTAATAGCTTAATGTTAACAGAAGATGACTGGTTGTGAGAGGCTGGACTATAGGGATGGGAGTAATACAGCAGCAACATTAGCAGTTGAAACCTTCAGATCTCTCATAAGATTTTTTTCAAACTCTATGGGATTAATGCCCCTAGTTTAGTCTCTACTAGCAGTCGTATTGTGAGAGTGTTCCCTCCTGTAGCCATATGCCTTTTTTAATGCTGAATGTGTCGCTTCACTCACTGCTTTTCCCTTGGATGCAGAAAGACCTGCTTGGCATACAGCAGCTGTTGAATTACTCTGAGACCAGCCTCCACCAGCTGACTGCCATGTTGGACTGCAGAGGTCTTCACAAGGTGAGCAGCAATGTAATGCGACAAGGTGCTTTGAGGCCATTAGCTACTCATGCCTCTTGACACCCTTAGGACCAAGACACTCCCCTCTTCTTCTTTCATCCCTTACAACTCAAGGATTACCTGGATGCTTTGATTGGGATCTGCTACGATGGCGTGGAAGGCTTGCTCTACCTCATTCTCTTCTCGATCTTGGCTGCCGTGTCCTTCACCACCGTCATTTGTGCTACGCCTCGTGCATGGCAGCATTTAGCCAGCAGGTAAGTGGAAGAGTCTTCTACTAACGCAACCCAATGACAAAATCACTATTGTTAATTCTGGAAGTGGCTTTTTTTTAAATGAAGATGAGTAGATCAAAACTGTCTGTCCTAAATTGTTGTGCTTAATGTTTCAGAGCCTCCTGTTCTCGCCATCTCTATCCAAGAACATTGTATCTGTAATTCTATACCTATCTCTCATCATCTTTATTTTATCACATGTTAATAGTTCTGTTATTTGTGGATTCTTGTGAAAGAGTCTGCAGATATGTCCCATGTTCCTCCTGCTTGAGATTATTCCGGGTTGCATAAAATTTTCCAGCTAGTATGACACTGAGGTTTCCTAAAAAGTCTTCCACATGGCATCCAGGAAGCAATTTATGGAACATATAAATTGTTGGCTGAGCCACAACCCCATGTATTTGTAGGCTCCCTGCACTCATCCTTCATTTACTAGGGAAGACAAAAATCAGGAGAAATTAAAAAGGGAGTCACGTGAGCAAGCGTGGAAGAAGGAAGCAACAAAGGAGTGTTCTCCTGGTCTTCCTCTATCTTTGTGTGTTCCTGCCGCTTGCAACACCGATTTCTGGAACTTGCAAATTCTTCATCTTCCTTCTTTCTAGTATTAGAATAATGTTGTCAGAAACCACTGTGAGATTCTTACACTTTTTGTATGGCATTGAAGTTTTGCCAGTTATGTGTAAACCGCTTTGAGTCCCCCTAGGGGTGAGAAAAGCGGTATAGAAATACTGCAAATAAATAAATAAATAAATCAATAAATTTTGTGCTCTTTTTAAATTCACAATCATCTCTCAGGCTTGGAAACCTGGAGATCTTGTCACAGAACAAGGCAGAATCAGTTCTCTGCTTCCAACACTGTTGCTTCTCACTGACTGAGATTTCTGTCAGGGTCCCTTTGTGAAACTGATGCCTGAAACGGAGAGTTCAAAAAATTACAGTTTGGACACCAACTCCCCATATTCCTCATTGGCTTTGGGACTCTAGAAGCCTAACTTTTTCAGTGTCTAAACTGCACAACATTGCTGTTTTCCCCAAACCAGTACTAGTAAATTGTTATTTCCTTTTCTTGTTGGTGTGTCTAAGCGAGGCAACCTTTCCATAACTCCTTAATATTTTTTTCCTGCACCATTTACATGGGATTAAGGGAGTTGAGTCTCTGCCTCAGATCTACATTTACAGGGTTCTTTTCCCCTACCTTCAGGGATCGGGAATATGACGACATAGATGAAGAGGACCCTTTCAATCCTCAGGCCAGACGCATTGCTTCCCACAACCCCAGCCGTGGGCAGATCCGTAGTTTCTGCAGCTATAGTAGCAGCATGGGCAGTCAGACGAGTCTCCAGCCTCCAGCGCAGACCATCTCCAATGCACCAGTGTCTGAATACATGTGAGTAGAAGATGTATGAGATACCAAAAGGAAAGCCTGTAAGCCCATGCCCATGCCCAAAGTCACTATAATGAAAATGATTTGGGTGCCCAGGTGAACATGTCCAGGTCCCTAGCTCTCCATGCTGTGGTTCCATCTGCTGGGTTTTCATGCTGACTTTCACATTTGCTTCCATTGCTCCATCCTTCTCTTAGAACCGCAAAGTCTCTCCATCCCACCTTTTGCAGTGGCTGGCAAACCCCCACCAGCCTGCCCTTGACTTCATTTCCTGAGTTTATGTTCCAACCACCCAGTGGATGACCCTAATCTGGATCATCAGTTGCTCTTTAAACTCTGGGGGTTGTCTTCCCAACTGAAACAAAAGAAAAATAAAACCTTGAGAATCTCACGAGATATTAGAGTATTTGTAAGGCATCAGGAGGTCATTCTGAATGAAAGAAATGCTACAACTCTTGAAACGTAGAAAAGCTTGTGTGGAATTTTTTTTTGCTGTATTAGATGAAACAGCTAAAACAGTACTACTTTGTGGACCAGATGTTGTTGGCAAACATGCTGCAAGCGTTCCACTTAACACAGGGCCTTTTGTTTCTGGTCCTGTGTTAACATCTAAGTTTTCTTGCTCTCTTACCAAAAGGCCTTTGTCCATTTACATTGACTTGGCAGTTGTTATGTAGGGAATGAGACACACGTGAGAGCTCCGTTTTACCAAGTTTCAATCAGGCTACCATTTGATCAAAGTCATGCCAGTTTAGCTCCCTCCCCTTGCTCCTTCCCAAATGTTTAATTTCTTTAATCTCAGTGCCATTCCCCATTAGAGTAAAAGGGGATGGATCACTGAAAGTACAGGTATACCCCAGTTAACAAAGGAGATGTGTTCCTTTTACAACCAAATTGGTACCAGACACAAACATAATGTGAAAACAGTGTCTTGCATCACAAAAATGGAATAGCTTGAACATGTTACAACAAACTAAAGAGATGCAAATATGAAATGAAGTAATTAGGTCAGGTAAGCTTTGTATTGGTAAAGAAAAAAAATATTTTGAACCTTCTAGAGACCCAGGTCTGTTTCAAAATTAATGTAGGGATTTTTTTATTCCTTCACCAATACCCACTTTACTTATAATTTCAGTTTTGGTGGCCAGATTTATAGATTTATTCCCTTTTAATGTGTTGGGAGTAGCTAGTAAGGCAGGTTTATCTGCTCTCTCCATTTTTTAAAACTTGTTTTACTCTTCATAAATGTTCAATAAAGGATTTTGGCTGTAGCTGGTGTTCACCTTGCCTGTTGAAAGCTGACACATGAAGCTACTGAAGTGGAATCCTCTTCTTTCTCAACTCAAAGTTTATTGAATTGTTTACTGCAAACATGTTGCTGTTGAAAGTCTGTGTTTCTCCAGTCCTCTTTCAGTGCCTTTGTAGTGCCAACACTACTGAAAAACTTTCAGGTAGCAAGAGTACAAAGAGGAAGGAGAGACTGGACAGGCATAAAAAAGACTTCATAAAGATAAGCTTCTTAAAGTTTGTGAGATATAACTGGAAAGGAAAAGAGGACGGGATTTAGAGCAACCTGGTTTGGGGATACAACCCACCCTCATCCCAGCCAATGTGGCCAATGGTGTTGTTCAAACAGCTGGAGGGAACTGAGTTGCTTTTCCCTGAGCTGCCATCAGCCTTTGCATGTGTCTTTGGTAATACTCCATTGAAGTCAATGTGCTGTACTACAGTTTCTCTCCACCCAGAGAAAGAGAACTAGGGGAGCACACAACCAATTACTTGGAGAGGTTTAGCTATGGAACTGATTGCCTAGAAAGGTAGTTGGCCCTCTCTAGATAATTAGTTCCATTCTCTGGACATCTTCAAAAAGAGACTGACAGCTATCTGCTTGAGATGCTTTAGCTGCAGCTCCAAACTGTCTCAGTGATCCACAAGGCCCTTACCATCTCCACAGTTCAGTGATTCACAAATCATAGTGTTGGAAAAGACCACAAGGGTCATCCAGTCAAATCCCATTCTGTCACGCACAGCCGTACAATCAAAGCACTTCCTACAGATGGCCATTCAGCCTCCGTTTAAAACCTCCCGAGAAGGATGCTCCATCTCTCTCTGAGGCATCATATTCTAGTATGAAAGAGCTCTTGTCCTCATGAAGTTTTTTCTAATTTTTAGGTGGATTCATTGTAGTCACCCTATATACTCATCTGTAAATCTAGAAATTTTAATCAGAAATTCAATTCCACAACCTGTATCGACTTATAAAAAAAAAAGGAACCATCCTCTTTTCTAGATAAAGTTACAAAAGATGAGAGCTCATTGCATCCCAGGAGAACTTCAAAAAAAGCACTGCTCCCCTCAATTCTATCAGTCATGTTACCACTTCTGACCTTTTTTTGAATGCTTGGGAGAGAACATAGCATTGGTAATTCCCCTCTCTGCAAAATAACCCTCAACTTATCCATGGATCATATCTAAGTCCATACTTTTGTCCTCAAAAGCTATCCTGAACTTATTCACGAGGTAAACTTATACATGCGTATATACGGTAAGCAATACAAAGAAGGAAACACGGGCTGGTAGTATCTTTGTCAGTAACAAGTAGCTCAGTTCTCAGGAACTTTTTAGTTGCTTATAATCCACAAAGTGAAATGCTGATAATCTTTTTCTTCATTAAGTGGATCCTACCAATAAGTTACCATTACTGGGGTGGTGGGGCTACTGTGTGGAGGGCTGTATGAAAGATTCAGGGATAATATCTGTGTTTCCTAACTCAAAGAGTATATGTTCTTTGTATTTGCCATCATGTCTCATCAGTCTTCTGCCCAGTATGCTTTTTTAAAAGAAAATCCCCAAATTTAACATATTTTTGTACATTTATATGTAATGCATTATTTCTTTTGGGGGAAGACCCATCGCCATCTTACTTTTCCTTTCAGCAGGTGTAACTGCTGCATAGCCACTGCCCTTAAAATCACCTTACTTACCCGAGGAACAAACAAAACCAAGTACTTTTGCCATTCTCTAATTCAGGAGGGAATTATTCCACAACTACCAAGTCAGCTTTTCTTCCCTCACGATTGGGAAGGAAGCTGGCTCTTGTCTGCTGTTTGCCAGATGACAGCACCACCCTTGCCATGATGAATGTAGGGAACACAAAAGGAAAGATCATTACAAAATTAGTTTAGAAAGACCATTGCAAATTAAGTTGAAACAGATTGTTTATTTATTCAAAGATTTTTTCTTCTTTAAGTTCCAAAGTAATACTGAATTGAGATCCAGTTCTGAAACTGTTGGGCCCATGTTTTTCTTATTACATGAATACAGAAAGAAAGAGGGATAAAATACAAGATTTACTTTTTGTCCACCCTATACATACATAAATACATACATATACAAAACATCACATTAGAAAGGCCCCTTGGAATGCTGGTTCTGGGGCAAGCAGAAACTGATTCAAATGTGCTGTTTCTGACATACTGCAATAAGTTCTGGTATGACGCTGTGCCACGTAAAGCTTTCTGAGGACATGCAAGAAGGTTCTGAAGTATGGAAAACATTTTCAGATATGCTGATTTCATTGTGAACATTCAAGGATGATGCACATCCATGAAATGACTGCATCACATACAAAGGCCCATGTGATGGAATTGCTGTCAAATGAGCTGTCATTCTTTCACTTAGCTGAAAAAGTAGTTAAATCTTCGAGAATTTAGCACATGATCACCATCTCTCTACTTTTATCATCTACCTTCCCTTTTGGGAGGCTTGGTAAGATAACATTTAAAAATTGGTAAACCATAGGCCTACAAATGATGACTTTCGGTGTCAGTCCATTTTGTGCATTACTAGTTGACTAACAGAAAAATGCAGAACAAGTCCCACTTCTTGTTTCTGCTCACTGAGGGAAAGGGTATGTCAAGAACATGGTGGAATTGGTTCTATTATGTATCTTTTACATTTCTTCCCTGCCTTTTTAATAAAAGAAGACTTAGAGTATCTTACAATTAAAGTGTAATACATGAAGCTGAAAACAAAAAAAGGAAGAGCAAATGAGAGAGTTAATTAGTTGATATTTATTTTGATATTTTGAAACCAGCTGGTCACAATTCATGAGTTAAGGCTTGTATGGAGAAACAATACAACTTGATGCCAAAAAAAAAAAAAAAGATTATGTTGAAAATAAAAAATTCTCACTGGGAAAAGCACTGCACACATGGGGAGTAGTGCCAAAGAAGGCTCCCTCCTTTATCCCTGGGGGGAAAGACTGGGATGTTGATTTCAAAATGTGGGTCTACAACAAGAGATGCATTTCTTCAAATATAGAGAGCGCAAGCTGTGTGACGTTATATAGTTTAAAACCAGCGTTTGATTTGGGTTTCAAAAGGTACAATGCTTTTCCTTCAGGAAGGTACACAAAGGCCAGAGCAAATGAAAGCAGACTGACCTAGAGAGAGGAACCAACGTGTACGCTTTTTCTTCTTCCTCGATGGAAGGAATATCTATAGTTGTTGACTGGATCTTTCCCAGCAATTGACTTAATGAGTTATGGCTAACTTTTGCCACTGCTGTGCAATATCAGAGGGTCTTTTTCAACTGGATGCACTTGCAGTTTCTCAAGTTGCTCCTGACACACACACACACACACACACACAAAACTGGACGCAGCCAGCCTTCTCGTATTCACAGATTCTGTATCCACAAATTCAGCCATCAACAGCTTGAAAATATTTATTAAAATTTACAAAAGCAACCCTTGATTTGGCCAGTTTATACAAGGGATACCATTTATTATGCCATTGTGTGTAATGGGACTTGAACATCAGTGGATTTGGGTATCCATAGGGGAGGATGCTGGAACCTAACCCCAGCGGATACCAAGGACCCAGTGTATATGTAACTGTAAAGGCAAGCTAGGTTTGGCATTAGTTCTACTTTTAAGCAGCCATTTCTTTAAGATCTATAACCACCACCACCACCACCCCTCTTTTCCTTCCCTCAACCTTTTCCTGACAAATGTTGGCTGCTTCTGTATAGAAATGTGGCAGGGATATTTCTTAGCCAGAAGCTGACAGCAGAGTTACTTTTCATGAGACTGTCCTCCTGATCTTACTCCTCTCTACCTGCAGGAACCAAGCTGTGCTCTTTGGTGGGAATCCACGGTATGAAAACGTCCCACTGATTGGAAGAGGATCGCCTCCCCCCACGGTACGGTGGGCGTCAGAGGCTAAATCTTTTTTATAACAAGCCCTTTGTTTTCCTCTGCTTTTACTAACACTCTCTCTATAGGCAGACACATTTTTCCAAAACAAAAAAGGGACGAGAAAGCTTCCTGCATTTTTTAAAAAATACATAGTTTTGTTTCTGATGCTAGAGATGAGGAAAAGAACATTTTAAAAAAATCTCTCAATGCAGACCTTTCCAGAAATGACAGTCCTGAACCCATAGGTTCATATCCACTGGAAAGTGAAAATGGCTGCAGGAAGTCCTACCTTTTTGGAGGCTGGCATTTCTTGGTCCCACAGTTGTTCAGCTGCCAAGGCTTAGATGCAGTCCGTTGAGACTGTGCAGTTCTAGGCCAGCGGTGGGTGATTATCTGGCAACAGGGCAGAGAATAAGTTCATGTGACGGCATTGAGATTTGCCTCACCCTTATTCCCAATCTGTTGTTGTGAGGCCATCCCACAAACATATCACATGGGCAGATTTTGCCCACCAATATCTATGTCTTCGTATTGTCTTTTTTAGTATAAACATATTACAGAGTGCCATATTTTTAATTTACTTCCCCTGTGCTCATTTTAATGTTTTGTTTAATTGTCTTGCTTCTGAAGAAAAGAGTTTCGAGTTCTAACGTCTAGAAGATGAGTATGTACTCTTTGCCTGGTTTATCTTTTTGTTCACGTCTTTTCCTCCCAACTTATTTCACTGTAAGCAAAAGCACACAATTAAGTTTGGCATAATGTTCTACTAAATCACATCTTGCCTGCTAACGTTTGTTTTGTTTTTGCATCAACTGTTTTGGAGCTATGTTGCCCTTCAAGAGTAAGTTGCTTCTTCATTTTTTTGTTGTATCTTTTCTTGATTTGGGGCTGGGGTTTGTTTTGCGGGCAAGTTGTGTGTTTCCACCCCCCTTTCCTGATAAACTGTAATTTTCTTCCCTGTGATGTGAATTTCCCCTTCCTTCATAAGCAATAGAATTGCTAGAATCTGGACCTGTATTTATTTTTAGAATTTCACTGTATTTTCTTGTTTTATTGGTGTGCATACTGACATAGGATGTTTTCCCTATGCAGATTATAATTGTTGAAAATGTAACATTTTCCCTCAGAATTTCTGGTGGATTATGTCTTTCCAACAAAATGACTCATTATTGTTGCCTAGTTCATTCTTTTGTGTGTAGTACCAAATGTTCAAAGTATTGGGATATGTTATCAGGTAAAATGATCCCAGCCTTCATTATGATGAGAACCTGTAAGTTGAAGGGTTTTTTTTAAATCTACATTTTCCATCAAACACTTTTTTACATAGCTAATTAAGACAAATGCAATGCAGTGAACTCTTCCTCCTTCGTGATGGTGTACTCAAATTGGCATTTTCACTCTATGCCAGAGTTTCTCAAACTGTGTTCCTCCAGATGTTTTGGACTTCAGCTCCCACAATTTCTAACAGCTGGTAAGATGGCTCAGATTTCTGGAAGCTGAAGTCCAAAAAATCTGGAGGAGCAGAGTTTGAGAAACACTGATATATGCTGTGTAGACAATCTTGTGAATGCAAAGATCTGGAAGCACTTTGTAGAAGCAAAACAAAAGCCTCAGATTGCTACTGTTTTGCTTGGTTCTTCCACTATTCTGTAGCAAGAGTATTTAATTGGTAGGAGGGAGCAAAATAATACACTAAAATAAATTGTCCTGCATTGGCAGGGAATATCTTTAGTGTTGCTCTTCCCACATTTCTGATTGACAGGAATATGCAAGTTGGGCTTGAAGAGTATTCTCTCATGGAGGAACAGCATGCTCCCAGTTTGGTTCTTGATTCTCAGGATAAAATCCTTCTTTTTCTATTCTTGACTTATCCATGGGTTATAACTAATTCCATAATTTTGGCCCCAAATTTTGCCCTTGACCTGTATGTGAGATTAACATATGAATGAGTATATACAATATCCAGATGCAGACTGCTTTTTGCTCCACAGCTGACTATTGGAGTCATAGTAGCTTCATGTAGGACTTCCATTAGCAGTATTTGTTAAGCTACCTGGTTTACCCAGTAGGGTGTATTATAAGTGATGGATATCAGTGATTAACATCCTTGTCTTCCTCTAGACCAGTGGTTCCCAAACATGTGTGCTCCATTGGCTTTGGACCTCAACTCCCAGAATCTCAGTCAATGTGGTCAACAGTCGGGAATTTTGGAAGGTAAAGTCTAAAGCATCAGAAGGAGCAAAGTTTGGGAATCACTGCTCTAGACTGCACCAGAACAGATCTGTACAATAATATTATGAACCTACTATTTTTCCAAGGACACTGATTATGTATTGGCCCTTCATGTTCTTCATTTGAAAATGTATCTGTAATTCTAAGAGCCTGGCCAATCTTCCTTTGAGACTTTGCAATGAGGTGTTTTACTAACCATGGCTATGTTCGTTTTCAGTCAGATTTTAGTTATGACATAAATTCTGTCTTTCATAGGGTAAAAAAGTTTAAATACATTTTATACTCTTATAGATAAAACATACTGAGAAGAAATGACACAAATTGGATATCAAAGTTTAACTCAAGCATGCCAAAGCCTTTCAGGGCCTCTGATTATTTACTTGTTTTCAGCTCAACACTGTGTTATAGAAGGTCTTACTGATGATTGTGGTGAGGCTAATAAATGTGTTCATCTCACCGAGCTGAGGGGCATCTGTTTATTATCCTGCCCTCTCTAGTAGTCATTTGCTGGGCTGCTACAAGGCCATCAGTTGGCACGTGCAATGACCAAGATAATCTGACCTTGACAGAAAGCTTCGCTGGCCAATGGCTTTCCCAGCATGCATTTATTTTTAGAAGTGTCACCATCAAATTGCTTGCTGTTTCTGGGTATCACTATTGTAAAGTTCCTTGTGGGGAAAAGAGAAATGAATTGGGGGTCTTCCCAAGGCTCCTTTGTTTTCTACACTGTTCGGAGTACATCCTTCTCCTTGGAGTAATTACTTCTTTTGGGTAGAATTCAGAAATCACTGATGGACAAATCACTCTGATCCTTGTAAATGTTACAAGATATTTCTTTTTCTTCATTACTATTTCTAATAGTTCTGGAGCTTTTAAAGTCTGTGTTGTTTTGTCATTTTTTGTCTCTTTCACTTTGGCAGCTTCCAAGACTAGAAGCAAGTTGCTGTTAGGGAGTACATTTCAAGCCTAATTTGCATATTTCTTTCTCTTGGAATGATTGGGAGCAGCAACTCTTCCAAGAAAACAAACATATTGCAATAAGTCCTAACATCCTTTTTCCCACATGAATAATATCTCAGGAGCCAATGTGGGGGAGTGGTTTGAGCATTGGACTAGGAGTCTGAAGACCAGGTTTCTTATTCCCATTCAGCCATGAAAACCCACTGGTGACCTTGGGCAAGTTGCACTCTCTCAGCCTGAGATAAAAACAGTGGCAAACTCCCTCTGAGAAAATCTTACCAAGAAAATCCCATGGTAGTTTACTATACATTGGAAATGACTTGTAGACACACCACAACAAATAATAAAACATGTACTGCATCAATAAAACTATCGTTATTTTACTAAAGTGATCGCACAGTTGCCTTTACAAAGGAGTAATTTTTCACAGGCACCCAGTTTAGAGTACTGGTAAAGACAGGTTTTTTGAAGTTGGCAGACCATCTAGAATGGGATCAGCAATAGAGGTGCTCAGGTGGTCACAGCACCCTTTTAGCTTTCAATTCCTGTTCTGATAGATGAAATAAGTTTCATCACCATAGATGAAAAAAGAGCCCCAAAGAAGACCTGTCTGCCAGCTCTGGGAATATGGTACAAACCTTTTGGAACCGAAGTTGTAGAGGGCAAATATATTATGACCCTTTAATAACTAACTAGATAGAAAGCTGTTTCAGAAAATGACAGTAATGCAGAGGAAATAAGAAACTCAAATGATCCTCTATGTGTTCTTCCTTTATGTGAAATGCAGTGCCTGTTATTGCCCCTGACCATGATAAGTGCAGACTTTTGGCACAGTGGCAATTTGCACATCTTGCAAACCAGAAAAGTATATAATTTGTATTTGTAATGAAACCAGAATGGAACAAGGAATGCAAGGAGCTCTTAGCTGTAATAATAATAATAATCATCATCATCATCTTATATTTGTATACCGCTCTATCTCCCCGAGGGGACTCAGGGTAGTTTCCATCATAGGTAAAGCATTGCAATTCCCGACACAAAAACATACAAAATAATCATTATAAAATATAGACATTATACTATTAAAAAGTCATACATATTTAAAATTAAAAGCCAGTTCAGTACTAATGTACTACCCTTACTATGTGGCACCGGTTCCATCAGCAGAACAAATAGATAAATTTATGGTGTGCATGCAGACATATTCGGTCAAGTTGTGATTTAACAGAGAGAGAAGCTGCATGATGTAGACCATAAAATAAGAACTAAATCAAAAGCCCAGATCAGGAGGAACAGCATCACTGAGATTTGAACTACAAGATGCCACAGTCCCATTTCTGAAGTCTTAAGTGACAGTTGTTCTGTCTTTTGCAGTTGCTATTTATAAGTCAGGTGTTGAAACACTGGGACTGTGCCAGCTTGGGAGCTTTTAATCTTGCTCTTGCAGAGTTTGCACTTACCAAAGCTGAAAGATGATGATGAAACTAAGTGCAGTTAGATTAATTCAGACCCCACCCTGCATATACTGAACTGTTCACTTTAAATGGGATTCAAATCCCCCAAGGAGAGGCTTTCAAGCTTTTCTGAGTTCCAGAAAAATAGACTGTGAATAATTATCCTTAATGCTGTGACTTGGAAGATACTCATTTCCTCCTAATTTATATTCATTTATCTCTTGCTCTGTTTCATCCTCTCTCACAGACACATGTGTGCAAGCATACAAACACACATACCAGCTGCTCCTTGATGCTGGGTTTCCAATACTATTGCAAGCCTGCTCAAGACATTTTGCTGCTTAAGTAGCAAATAGTGTCCTCGGTTCAGCAAATTCAAAGTAGCATATAAATCCCATAAGCAGCTCTCCCTTTTTTAGCAGTAAAAGATGCTGCCTGAGGGGACCACTGCATTGTGTAGAATGGTACAGTCCACGCATTTGCAATCCAGTTGTGGTCCTTTCTTACATTATGAATGAGATAGCAAAGCCATGTTGCTCTTTACAGCTTTGTTTTTAAAGTGTGTACTGGTGGTGGTCTCTATAGCTTGCTATGCAAAGTAGAGTTGCACAAGAGAATAACAAACATAATTTCAAGTAATGATGAAGGTGGTTTGCTTAGGTGCTGAACTTGTCACCTCATCACAATAATCAAAAGTTTTCATTTTAATGTCTGTTCATACACATAGTTTTTTCCTAGGCACTTAACTCTATGCATCCAGGGAAGTACAGTTGACCTTCCACATTTGGGTTTTCACTTTTGTGGAATCGATTGTTTGAAGAATTGATTCTTATGTTCTCTCTAGGATTCCCTAGGTCCTCCAGTGTGACTCTGGTCAATTCCCACCACAGAGTTGTGCTGAAAGGCCTAGAGAGAATACTTCTTTTGGCATTTGTAGGTCCTCCAGCATGATTTTTCAGTCAGCTTCCAGCAGAAGTGATCAATAGATTTGTGCCTAGTGAGGTTTTCCTTCAGGTTCAAAAAAGTGTTTTCTTATTTGCAGTTTTCCCACTTTTGCAGAGTGTCCCTAACCCCAGCAAATCTGGAGGGCTGGCTGCAGGCTTGGTCTGCAAAAGCTTTACTACCAGAGTCTTTCTCTCAGTCAATCTCTAAAATGCTATAAAATACTTTTGCATACTGATATTACAGAGTAGCATGACTAAATCTTCTAGTGCTTACCCTGATTGTGTACTTTTAATTTAATGTATGTATATTGGGATGGGCAATGTTCATCCCAGTTCCATTGTTGTGGCTCTGCCTCCTAGGGTTACAAATTGCCCCAATGTCCTCAAAGGCATATAGATAGCACCTTTACCATGGAAGAAGTTTGAGTCATTTTTGTGGTGGATGCAGTGGATAGGGTGCAGCCTTCCAAGGTCTCCTGAAAAGCTAGCATGCCCCTCCAGCCTACCACCGTTCCCTACTTTTGACATTTGTAAATAGTAGTAATGCTGGATGAAAGTGTTCACCTTTGAACTACAAAGTAGTAGAATCTGAATTTAAGGGTCCTTTGACACATCACATAGAGAATTCCTTTACAGGTACATATGGAAGAGAACTTGAATTCAGATATAGAGGCCTTTTGGAAAGTGAATACAACCTAGCATACAATTTAGACACTTTTTTGCAGAGGGGAATCTGGAAGTTGTAGCCCAAAAAGCAGCTTTTCTGAGGTGTTCTGCCATGCCCTTGTAGTAACCATTTACGAAGTTGGCCTAGCTTCACATAAGCCCTTTCAACAATTCTTGCTATATAAACTGAGTTGGAATCACTCTTTGAAGAAAAAGCAGCTTGCTCTAATGCTAGCACAACATGTCAGAGGGGGAGGTTAGAGGAGGGAATTGTTTTGTTGTATTATTAGTCTGTTTTGAACTGAGTTGGATCATTAAACTGAAAGGCTTGATATAAACCCAAGTCAGGATAGTTTTTGAAAAACATGTTTACTAAGACAGATTCAAAATGGGTGTTATTTTATATTTCCAAATGGTCACTTCCAAGATGGGTCCCCCTCCTCCTTCTTTGGATCCACTTGTCTTGCTTCCATCTCTTTTGCTGGAACCTCAGTGTGTGCTTCACTTTTCCCCCAACTAACACCGCTTCTTTTGAAAATGACCTCAAGTTGTATAGTTCTGCCTAGCATTATCGCTTACCTTTTTCTGGCTGCCTTTCCGTTGTCACCTCATTTCACTCCTCACTCCTTCTATGTCAGTGGTCAGGATGCAACCCTGCTGTGTTCTAGCCACAGGGAATGTAAGCAAACGTTTAAACAAAGTTGCCAAAAAAATTAATCAAAGTCTTCCTCGGTGGCAATTTAGAGGGTCACACTTTGATCTTTACTAGTTAGATGTCAAAGTTGGGTTTTTGAACCATCATGTCTCACTTTCCTCCACTTCTTTTTGCAGTATTCTCCAAGTATGCGATCAACCTATTTATCGGTTAATGATGATCACAGGCGACAGTACGGCACCGAGGTTCAAGCCTAAATCCCACCTTGTAAAGGATGGCACACAAACTTTGTAGCAGAACCCAATACCAACTGAAGGCATGTGGAGTGCAGGGAGTAGAATTGCCTCCCTGCTGAAGTGGCAGAGAAAGGTGTTCGGCGAAGGAGTGAGCCAAAGGAGACCTTCACTGGCCCACCCGATAGTCTTCCAGGGGTTATCCTTTCTGTTCGACTGGCAGCTGTTTTCACACTCAGTGTTTATAGTCTTCCTCTCTTGTATACGTACGATGGTGCCCAGTACATCCATCCCCAGACCGAATGCCTCTGAAGTCTTCTCTGTGACCCATCGCCTCTTCCTGCTCCCTTCCTGACACCAGTGCATTGTCCTTTCTGGCCTTTTTTAGCAAGGCAAGGTGAGGAATTAGGATTTGGACTGTCACACATGTGTGCATAGCTTATCCACTTCTATTTTCTTCCGCACTGACTTTGGGGCCCTTTTGTCCATCATTGATGGTGTGGTCTGGGCTTTTTTATTATGATTTTGTTAGAGCAATTAATAAAACTGTACAAGTAAATAAAGCACCGACATGTGGTGTACCTTGACCTAAGGAACGTGGGGTGCTTGCCATGAAAGAAAATGCTCCTCACTTCTGAGTCAAAAATGCAATACCATCCACTACAGTGAATTTCATCTCTCCTCTGGAGAGGCCTCTGCACAAAGCCTATGCCTGGCTTGGCTCTATGCGACATTTTGTTACCATCACTACCACCACCACCACCGACACCATCACCTTTTGACAGCACTGGAATGGTGTATATGATACAAGATTCATACACAGTGTTCACTTTTGTCATCTCTTCCTTTGCTTCTTGAATTGACATTAAAATCACCAACTCTTGCTATGGTGGCCTCAGGTACTATATGGAACAAGCTGAATTTCTTTTTGTTCTTTCACAATTTGTTGTTGTTGCATGTATTATTCTTTGTATTTTCCCTCCATTGTTTTTATATCAACTATCCAAAGAACCTGACTTTGTTGTTCTTTTTACATGATTTTTATTACTTTGTTTTTTAAAAATGTATGCATATTTTAAAAGTTTACTTCTGTTTTTAGCACTGATTTTTCTAAAAAGAAAAAAATGAAAACAAATTTTAAAATTCACCTTTTCGAAAACGGTGTCTGTATGTCAAAAGCTGGATGCTTTTAACCATTCCTTTCTCCCACACTTTGGGGAAACAAGATTAACAAGAAGACTGGAACAAATTGGTCGGTCATACAAGACAACTGCCATAGAGCAGGGTTTGGGTTTTTTTTCAAATTGTGGGACAGTGACCCACAAATAGATGTTATGGTGCTTCTGGTTGGGTTATGCAGTGATGGCTGTTTTTCCTCTGTTGTGCTGACAATACACAATAATGTTGTATAATCCCTTTAACAAGCAGGATTATTATTTCACTCTTTACCAAGGATGGGGAGCCTGAAACCTTCCAGCTGTCAAAAGACTGTGTCACTCATTATCTCCAAGCTGATGGGACCTGGAGGCCAACAGCACCTAGAGTAGTGTTCCCCAAATTCTGGGCTTCTATGTCTTTTGGACCTCAGTTCTCAGAGTCCCTGATCATTGGCCACTTTTCCACTTGGGACCCTTTTTAACCTAAGAAATGTTTTAATGACCCTGAGTATATAGATGTGTAAAATTAGAATAAACCAAACATTTACTGATAACAAATCAGCATTTGCAAAGCTTGCTCAACAGGCTGGTATTCTTTTTTATGAAGTATAGCTGTAGCATCTGCTGCAGAGTCCATTGTAAAAACTGCACAACAGTTTCAAGAAAATGTGTCAAACAGCCGCCACTAGGTGACATTCAGAAAACTTTTACTATTGCCAAATTTTTCAGGACCACAACATTGAGCTAATGGGATTCCCATTTGAAGTTGAGACCCACAATTTAAGAAGCAGCAATATAGAGGGCCACGTTCCCCATTCCTGCTCTTTGCCTTGTTTCAGTTCCAGTCAAACACACAGGTTTCATGCGTAATTAAAATTACAATGATAACTTTTTCTTTTCTCCTCATAGTGGGTCAGCCCTTCAGGCAGAATGTGTGCTATAGTGGGGCAGGAATCATAGGCAGATTACCTCCATTTGTATTCTGACTTGCTATTGTTCCAGAAAGCATCCTGCCTTACAAGGCCAGGGACTTCCATGGCACAGAATGGCAGCAGCAATTGGAGCTGCTTTAGATTTAACACCTCTTGGGGTAAAAGCAGAATGCAGAAAGGTTACTTTGGGATCCTGTACACCTCTGGATTCCTCATCTATCATGAAATTTTGAGAGTAAAAAGTAATTTCTGAAATTGTAGATAGCATTGTGGTTGGTAGTCCAGGGTTTCCTTGCTGAGGGACTCATCAAGCCAACGACCAGTGTGACTTGCGGGGCATAACAGCCTCTAACCCAGTCGTGCGCAAACTTTAGCCCTCCCGGTGTTTTGGACCTCAGCTCCCACAATTCTTAAAAATTGGTCAGCTGGCTGGGACTTCTGGGAGTTGAAGTTCAAAACACCTGGAGGGCAGAAGTTTACCCATGCCAGCTATAACCCCATCTTTGTATCCCCACAATGTCACCCCTCCCCCCCACACACACACACACTTTAAAAAAATCCTATTTTGTCATTTAAAACCCCTCCCAGCTACATTGAACTCACTGTTTTTCAGTCATATAGCAGTTAAAATGGCAGTCAGGGGTTATGGCATGTCACTTTTGGTTGTCATTTCTGCTGGTATGTGCTTTGAAGAAAGGAAATTGGGGAAATAGGTGGGAACAGCACATACATTGAGGGTAGAGGAGGTGAAAAATTGTCCTTCCTATTTCTCACCCTTGCTCTAACACAGTGGTTCTCAATCTGTGGGTCCTCAGATGTTTTGGCATTCAACTCCCAAAAATCCTAACAGCTGATAAACTGGCTGGGATTTCTGGGCGTTGTAGACCAAAACACCTGGGGACCCACAGGTTGAGAACCACTGCTCTAGCATCATGACAAAGATTAGCAGCAGACAACAACACACTTCCTTCAGCAATGAGTTTGCCAGTTTTTCATGATATGTTAAGACTGTAACCTTGATCTAACTCAGTTTTAGGCAACAGTACAAAGAGAACTTGGGTGACCAATATCAAAAAGTAGGATTCCCTTTACCCTTTTCTCTGTGAATGTATGTATATGTGTGAGAGAGACCGGAATATATGTTACTGAATCATTGTGGATTTCTAGACAGTGGGAAAGTGTTTTGAAGGAAAGGCATCACAATATGTCCCAAACACGTGAATCAGATGTCATTTCACCTGCAGTTTCTCTCCAGTGCTATATTTTTAGGTTTCCAGATCTTTTTCATGAGCACATAAATCTTTATATTTTAAAAAAGGCAGTGAGGTTGAATTGCCTAGGCTGTTGAATTTTCCCACTGAGTTGCTCAACTTTATATACTTTGACGTAGTTGGAAGAGAAAGCAATATATATATACTCTCATGGGAACACAAAATGAAAGGGCCAACACTCTCAAGCACAAACAACCTAGAAAATATCCTCAAGCATCAGCACTGCAAATGAAATTTCTTAGGTTGAATCAGGCCGGGATTGTGGCATTTGGACTGTGCATAATTGAGAATAGTTTCCTGCATAGGAGTAACAGTGCTAAAAAAAACCAAACCCCTGCAGAGGTGCAAGATGGCCCTCGGTAGCATCCAGTGCCACAGGGCAGTTTTAATGACTTGACAGCAATGACTCACTGTGTCTTTTTATCAAGGTTAGCTTGTACATATCATGTATGGCAACATAATTTGTACATTCATCTTAATGTGACTGATTGCAACATAAGGCATGGGGAGGGCAAACCCTAACTTGATGCTTTTAATTGTGTCATTGTAACAATATTGTTTCAAGTGTTTTTTTTAAAAAAAACAACAAAACAAATGCATGTAAACTAACCTCATCTCAGGCTCTTTGGAGCTTTGCCTGATTTGTATGTACTGACTGGGAAACAATAAACACTTGTTCTAAAAAGCTGACCTTCAGTTGCCTGCTTTCTAGAGTCTTGTCAATAAAAACAAATACAAGATACTATTAGACATTTTTCCACTGGAGTGGTCTCCAGATATTTGACTACAACTCCCAGCAGTGCTATAGGCCACTCTTGAGCTGATAGGAGCTGAAATTAAAAAAAAGAAATTGTGTGCACAAGTGTAGGGAATAATGGACCAATTTAGTGACCATCACATGGGTTCAAATGCTAAAACAAATTGAGTAACATTGGTTTTACATAACACATTCCTTTATTACATTTTATTGTGTTGTTAAGTAAATAAATAACTAAACCAAACACATTCGCTTTTCAGACCAAAAATGCAATGCATACAATCAAAATCTAAATGTTACAAACTTGAAAATCTTCATAAACTTAACAATCATGCAAAATTCATGCAGAAACCATGTCTTGCAAAAGATATGCATTGTACAGACTTTAGAAATATTGTCCTAAAAGGTTATTATAAACATAAGAATCATAAACCATCTGTCACTAAATAGGCCTGATTGAGTTTCTCCAAACTGAACTGGTTCAGTTTGCCCACCCAGACTGAATCCCATACCACTGAGCAAGTATAAGATATTATCACTTCTGTATAGGAAATAAATTCTTAAATGCATGGGCTATTTTAAGAGATTCTCTTCAAGGTCATATGGCAGTATAATGAGAACCTGTGGCTGGGGAGATTACATATTCCAGACAGAATTGCCCAATACAAATGATGTTACAAAATTGAATATATTTGCAGTAGAGTTGTTGGCTATCATTCACATCTATCTTAATACTGAGGCTTGAGTGCTGCTCTACACATGGATAATCTCAGCCACATCCATTGGTAGAGAACATAGTTGCAACTGGGCAAGAAGAAGTTCTGACTATTTAAGAATGCCCTCCTTTTTCCTGCTCGCAGGGCAACATGCATGTCTCTTTTCCACACAATTCCAGCCAAAACTTCTATCCAGAGATCTTTGTGATAGACCTAAAATGTGAACTTAGTTTTACACTTTGACATGATGAGCTCTAAAGTGCACCTACTGAACTTCCTTTCCCCCAAGCAAGTGAGATCTCTTCATAGGACAAGTAGCAGCTCTCTTGAAAATACCATGTATGTGCTACATGTGGATGACATGGAACACTCCTTGGTTGCTCCCGAGCAAGTCTTCTTACAGACTTGTGCTGTACAGATTGCATGAATGAAATGTGGGGGCTGCACCGATTTACTTTGCTGTGTTGTTGAATAATACTGGTGGTTTCTTTACCTCGTGTAGGAAATGTTAGAGTAGGTGTTTCGACAGTTACCGAGATTTACTTCACTGTGGAGCAGAGCGCCATCTTGTGGCAAAAGCCAGCTTCCCACTATACTCATAAGTAATGGTACTTTACAAGTACTTTACAAGTACTTCTCATTGGCAACACACTTTTAGATGTGCATCATTTTGTAACACAGTAATTCAATTTTATTAGCAAACCAGAGGTTAAACCAACCCCTTATAAGAGATACAGATATATACATAAATTGTTTTTGCTTATTTCACATAGACTCAAAAGTTTCTTGTTATGTCTGCATGCCACATCTATGCACTGCAGTCAGCACACAAACCTGTCACAATGCAGAGCTCTGAGATATAGTAACAAGATAGTAGTGCTGTAGCCATCCATCTGCACTTTTACAGGCTTGAGGGTGTTAGCTTGCAGCTCAGACAGAAAGAATTACCAATGTTAATCACATGAAGCTTACAGAGCATTATACATATGAGAGAGAGAAAATCAGTCTCAAATCACTGACGAGTTTTGCCTCTTTTAACTGCCAGTAGAGTCAAGGTGTTTAGTTTTTGAATGTCTGGAGATTACTGCTTGCCTGGGGAAGCAACAGTGAAACCAGGTGTCAAATGATCACAAAGATCAATCCCACCATTTTGTCTCTTTCATGTATGGAAATTCTCCTGTGGTGCAACAGGGCGGGGGGAGCATCTTCTTATTTATTTATTAAATATGTTTCCTCAAAAATGGTCATCAAGTCATTTTCTTCTTTTCGCCAGAAATCTACAGAATATTCTTAGGCACAGTACTTGGTTCTTGATAGAGCCCAATTTCAGGGCCTCTTCTCAACCCTGTTTATTTCTTACATTATTTACCCTCCAGACTCCATCATGGGGTCTTGGGGCACTACACAAGTAAAGCCGATTTAAGCAGATTAAAGTGGTTTAACACTTAAACAGGAAAAATAATATAAGCCAACTAGAGCATTATTTAAGAAATGTTCAAGTTTAAATGGCATGAAAGTTGAAAACCAGGTCAATGTACATTTTGGATATAATGCCAAAGACCATTTTAATAAAGCTTGGCATAGGAATGAAGGGAGATGTTGGCGCCGGCTAGGACTCCAAACATGAGGGTGCCACAACAGAGAATGCTCTGCCTCGTCCTTCCACACGTTATAGTAATGTTATTGAAAATGAGACCCCAAAATTATGAATTACTGTCCATGGCTCCATGGAGACATACAGCAAGCTTGTGTTGACTTTTCCTTTTGCAAAAGTATTGCCTCACTGCACACCGGACCTCAGGAAGCAACCAAATGATTTTCATAGCCCTCTCACTGTACCTGGGGAAGACACACAGGACACACAATGGGCACACACAAGAGCCTTTGGATCTTTCCCTCTTTTTCCTGATATGATCTGGTTTAGTCCTGGGAACCTTTCCCTCTCTCTGTCACTAATTTGGACCCCCTCCTTGGGTTCCCATTGAAATTGCCAACACCTTGGGCACCCTTTTTGTTTATCTCAGCTGGCGGCCATTGTATTAACTGGAACTGGGATATCAAAACCCATTATCTTCTTCCTCACTGCATGTTTTCCTCTCACACCCTTCTCCTGGGCAGATCAATAAAGGGACACACGTTTTCAAAATAATCTAATGATAAAGGTAAAGGTTTCAAAGTCTAGTTGTGCCCAACTCTGGGGGGGGGGGGGCGACTTAAGAGTTGGGTCACTCTACATTAATCAGATAATGTAGATCAGGCATGGTCAAACTTGGGCCCTCCAGGTGTTTTGGACTTCAACTCCCACAATTCCTGGGAGTTGAAGTCCAAAACACCCCTGGAGGGCCCAAGTTTGCCCATTCTAGACTATAGAATAAATGCGGTTTGACCCCACTTTAACTGCCATGGCTCAATGCTATGGAATTGTGGGATTTGGAGTTTGGTGAGGCAGAGAAGGCTCAAGCAGTGCTCTCAACCTGGGGTCCCCAGGTGTTTTGGGCCTACAACTCCCAGAAATCCCAGCCAGTTTACCTGCTGTTAGGATTTCTGGGAGTTGAAGGCCAAAAACATCTGAGGACCCCAGGTTGAGAACCACTGGGAGTTGTAGGCCAAAAACATCTGGGGACCCTAGGTTGAGCCTCAAGGCCTTTTCAAACTACAACTCCCAGGATTCCAAGGCAACAAAAGCGGTGTCGAATCGCATTCATTCCAGTGCCATAGAGGCATCTATTTATATTTCTTTTTCAAAGACAGAGACTTGCGGGTATATTACTGCATAAGGAGGAGGAGGACTCTGACTTTGGGGATCAGGGTTCGGATTCCCCGCTCAGCCATGTCCTGGGTCGAGTCACACTCTCTCAGCCTCAGGGAGAAGCTCTTCTGGGGACATCCTGCCAAGACACCTTCACTGACAGGTTCTGTTAGAATGACTACACGTCAGACACAAAAACATTCTGTACAGTAGGAAGGAACAATGGGACCGGGTGCAGGCGGGGGGGAAACCCTGCTGGTCTTTCTTCCATCATGGTCTATTCCCCTTCCATCCCCCCTCTCTAGTTTTCAGATGGTTCCGCCCTCCTTGTTGCGAAAATGGCTTCCCTCCCTCTCGCCTCTTCTCCTTTAGCCCCGCCTGAATTCTTGGAGCGGTTGCTAGGAGACGAGGAGACGCTACGCCAATCGGCGGGATTTGCTGCCCGGCTGGGAGAAGCGAAGGTAAAAGGGAACTGGGGGCGGAGGAGGGACAGGCATGGAAGGCTTTTCGTGTCGGCGTATAGAACTCGCGCGCACTCTCGCTCTCACACACGTAGCCTCCCTTTAACGTCGCCCCTCTCGTCCCGTCCCCCCCTTCCCGTGGAATGGTACAGACTTCCTTTCATGGGAGCCTTTCAGGAGAGGGAACCGGGGCCTGTACCATTCCACGGGGGATAGGGGGCAGAATAGTCTGATCTCTACACATAGAATCATAGAATCCTAGAGTTGGAAGAGACCTCATGGGCCATCCAGTCCAACCCCCTGCCAAGAAGCAGGAATATTGCATTCAAATCACCCCTGACAGATGGCCATCCAGCCTCTGTTTAAAAGCCTCCAAAGAAGGAGCCTCCACCACAATCCGGGGCAGAGAGTTCCACTGCTGAACGGCTCTCACAGTCAGGAGAGCTGTAGAACTACACTGTAGTTCAGACCTCCATAGACAGAAACAGTGGACTGGCAACAACTCTTGCCTTCGTCGTTCCCTTGTGAATTCCTCAGAGTTGTCTGTTTGGCAAATCTCTCTTAGAGCTACTTCATCCAATCCACTGCGACAATGGCATTGACATCTTGGGCCCACCCCCTGTTTCAATATCAGCCAGCACGCCAACGCCTTAAATCAAAGAATAGTTTTCTAAGATCTACAGAGATACTTGCAGAAACACCTCAGCAAGCGAGAGTCCAAAAGTGGCAGGATGAAACCTCAAACCATGGCTGATACCAAATGAGAGACTCCCTCCCGGGCACCCAGCGGACAGGCAACTTGGAAGGTGCTGAACAGACTGTGCTCTGGCACCACAAGATGCAGAGCCAATCTTAAGAAATGGGGCCACAAAGTGGAGTCCACGACATGTGTGTGTGAAGAAGAGCAAACCACCTACTGCAATGCAGACTGAGCCCTGCCACATGCACAATGGAGGATTTGGAAGAAATGCTGGGTGCTGTGGTACTGGGACAGAACAGTTGTGCAGTTGAGCAGCCAGCTAAGAGCTAAACCGATTAGTGAAAATTTAACCACAGGGGACTAGTAGCACAAAAGAACACAAGCAGTGTCACTTGGCTGTAGCCAAGCAGAACACCTGATCTACAGACCTAGATAGGGCCAACATGGGAGTGCAGAGAAGAGCAAACCACAGATCACCTATTACAATGCAACCTGAGCCCTGCCACATGCACAATGGAGGAGCTTCTTGCAGCAACACCAGAGGCACTCCAAGTGGCCAGCTACTGGTCAAAGGACATTTATAACATAATTGCCAAGTTTTTACATTTTTAAAAAATACATTACAACTATACCCTCAGTTTGCTTCTGATGTGATAAATAAATAAATAAACTGTGACAATCCCTTTATTACAGGAGATAAATTATGTGTTATCAGTATTTCTACCTGCAATCACACAAACCCATGAGGTATACTCTGCAGCACCTGGTTCTGCTTGGAGGCCTCCCACCCTGATATTAACCAGGAATGGCCTTGCTTATCTTCCAAGATCAGACAAGAGCTGGTGCTTTTAGTGTGCTTTGGCCCTCTGCATACGTAAAATAGAGACTGGTTGGTAAAGGCCCACCCTGAAATTTTCTTCCCACCTTGAAAACCTACATTTCTTTTCAGTTGGTTTTACTGATTGTTTGGGAAACTCTGTTCAAAAACACTGTTGCTTTGCCTACAATTGTCCTGCCTGAGCTCTGACAAATTTGCACAGAAGCCATCAAAGTTTCTAATTTCCCAACAGTATTTTGCTTTTCTGCATACATTTGAGATCCCAACATGAAACACACGTGGGAATATTGCATCACTATTTTAAAAAATATTTTATTGTGTATTGTTTTACCCCACTCCCACGCTCCTCCTCCCCTCCCCCTGGACATACAATTTGTATCATAAACTCCAGAAATTATATTTGAAATACCAGTCTTAATCTCAATTTTTTCCACTCCACTTCTTAATATATTCTCTAAGTAATTCCTAACTGGATCCCACATACTTTATTATAACATTTTCTATTTTACCTATATTGTTCAATTTGTAATTTGTGATTTGCATATTTAGCATATTGATTATATAACTATACCAGTTTGTCAGAGTCCACTTTGTTTTATCTTTCCAACCTCTCACTAAAACGATATGCACACATGCATTTCTCAACCACTCTTTCTTTTTGCACATTATTCACTCCTGGTATCCTTGCATGTAATACATTTCTATTGTCTATTATTATTATTTGAAGATTTAACATTCTATTAATTTCTCCTTCAAACATTCTCCAATATGCCTGTACTCTATCACATTCCCATATCATGTGATTAAACACGCCTCTTTGTTTACAGCCATGCCAACACCTGTCCTTTGTTGTTGTTCATTCGTTCAGTCGTCTCCGACTCTTCGTGACCTCATGGACCAGCCCACGCCAGAGCTCCCTGTCGGCCGTTACCACCCCCAGATCCCTCAAGGTCAGTCCAGTCACTTCAAGGATGCCATCCATCCATCTTGCCCTTGGTCGGCCCCTCTTCCTTTTGCCTTCCACTTTCCCCAGCATAATTGTCTTCTCTAGGCTTTCCTGTCTCCTCATGATGTGGCCAAAGTACTTCAACTTTGTCTCTAGTATCCTTCCCTCCAGTGAGCAGTCGGGCTTTATTTCCTGGAGGATGGACTGGTTGGATCTTCTCGCAGTCCAAGGCACTCTCAGAACTTTCCTCCAACACCACAGTTCAAAAGCATCTATCTTCCTTCGCTCAGCCTTCCTAAGGTCCAGCTCTCACATCCGTAGGTGACTACAGGGAATACCATGGCTTTGACTAGGCGGATCTTTGTTGCCAGTCTGATGTCTCTACTCTTTACTATTTTATCGAGATTGGACATTGCTCTCCTCCCAAGAAGTAAGCGTCTTCTGATTTCCTGGCTACAGTCTGCATCTGCAGTAATCTTTGCACCTAGAAATACAAAGTCTTTCACGGCCTCCACGGTTTCTCCCTCTATTTTCCAGTTGTCAATCATTCTTGTTGCCATAATCTTGGTTTTTTGATGTTTAGCTGCAACCCGGCTTTTGTGCTTTCTTCTTTCACCTTGATTAGAAGGCTCCTCAGCTCCTCCTCGCTTTCGGCCATCAGAGTGGTGTCATCTGCATATCTGAGGTTGTTAATGTTTCTTCCAGCAATTTTCACCCCAGCTTTGCATTCATCCAGCCCCGCACATCGCATGATGTGTTCTGCATACATGTTAAAAAGGTTGGGTGAGAGTATGCAGCCTTGCCGTACGCCTTTCCCAATCTTGAACCAGTCTGTTGTTCCATGGTCAGTTCTTACTGTTGCTACTTGGTCCTTGTACAGATTCCTCAGGAGAGAGACAAGGTGGCTTGGGATGCCCATCCCACTAAGAACTTGCCACAATTTATTATGATCCACACAGTCAAAGGCTTTAGAATAGTCAATGAAGCAGAAGTAGATGTTTTTCTGAAACTCCCTGCCTTTCTCAATTATCCAGCGGATATTGGCAATCTGGTCTCTCGTTCCTCTGCCTTTTCTAAACCCAGCTTGAACATCTGGCAACTCTCGCTCCATGTATTGCTGGAGTCTTCCTTGCAGGATCTTGAGCATTACCTTACTGGCATGAGAAATAAGGGCGACTGTACGGAAGTTTGAGCAGTCTTTCGCATTTCCCTTTTTTGGTATGGGGATATAAGTTGATTTTTTCCAGTCTGATGGCCATTCTTGTGTTTTCCATATTTGCTGGCAAATGGCATGCATCACCTTGACAGCATCATCTTTTAAGATTTTAAACAGTTCAGCTGGAATCCCGTCGTCTCCTGCTGCCTTGTTGTTAGCAATGCTTCTTAAGGCCCATTCAACCTCACTCCTCAGGATGTCTGGTTCTAATTCATTCACTACACCGTCAAAACTATCCTCAATATTATTATCCTTCCTATACAGATCTTCTGTATAGTCTCGCCACCTTCTCTTGATCTCTTCAGCTTCTGTTAGGTCCCTGCCATCTTTGCTTCTTATCATACCAATTTTTGCCTGAAATTTACCTCCAATGTTTCTAATTTTCTGGAAGAGGTCTCTTGTCCTTCCTATTCTGTTGTCTTCTTCCACTTCCATGCATTGCTTATTTAAAAATAGTTCTGTATCTCTTCTGGCTAACCTCTGGAATTGCGCATTTAACTGGGCATATCTCCCCTTATCCCTGTTTCCTTTTGCTTTCCTCCTTTCTTGGGCTACTTCCAGTGTCTCAGCAGACAACCATTTTGCCTTCTTGGTTTTATTTTTCTTTGGGACGTACTTTGTTGCCGCCTCCTGAACAATGTCTCGGACTTCTGTCCATAGTTCTTCTGGGACTTTGTTTACTAAATCTAGTCCTTCAAATCTGTTCTTCACTTCCACTGTATATTCGCTAGGAATGTTAGTGAGATCATATCTAACTGGTCTGTGTATTTTCCCTGATCTCTTTAGTTTTATTCTAAATTGGGCAATAAGAAGTTCGAGATCTGAGCTACAGTCAGCCCCAGGTCTTGTTTTCACCGACTGGATGGATGTCCGCCACCTTTGGCTGCAAAGGATGTAGTCAATCTGATTTCGGTGTTGACCATCTGGTGAGGTCCATGTATAAAGCCGTCTTTTAGGTTGTTGGAAGAGAGTATTCGTTATACACAGCGAGTTTTCCTGGCAAAATTCTATCAGCCTGCGTCCCGCTTCATTTTGTTCTCCCAGACCCTGCTTGCCTGTGATCCCAGTTGTCATTTGACTTCCCACCTTGGCATTCCAGTCTCCTGTAATGAAAATAATGTCTCTTTTTGGTGTATTATCCAGTAGGTCCTGCAGATCCTCATAGAACTGATCTACTTCTGCTTCTTCAGCAGCTGTGGTTGGGGCGTATATTCGGATCACTGTAATGTTGAAAGGCTTTCCTTGCACTCGAATTGAGATCATTCTGTCATTTTTTGGGTTGTATCCAAGCACCGCTTTAGCGAATTTCTTATTAATTATGAAGGCTACTCCATTTCTTCGATGTTCCTCTTGTCCGCAGTAGTAGATCTGGTGGTCATCTGATGTGAAGTGGCCCATTCCAGTCCACTTCAGTTCGCTGACCCCCAGAATGTCTATCTTTAGTCTTGACATCTCGCCAATAACAACATCCAATTTGCCCTGGTTCATAGATCTTACATTCCAGGTTCCTATGGTGTGTTGATCTTTAGAGCATCGGATTCGTCGTTCACCTCCAGTACCGTCGGCCGCTAGCCTTCCTTTCGGCTTTGAGCTAGCTGCGTCATCACATCTGGGGCTAGTTGAACTTATCCTCTGCTCCTCCCCAGTAGCATTTTGGCCATCTTCCGACCTGGGAGTCCCATCTTCCAATGGCATACCGACATATCTCTGGTTGTACTGGTCCATTTAGTTTTCTTGGCAAGGATACTGGAGTGGTTTGCCATTGCCTTCCCCAGGGATCACGCTTGGTCTGACCTCTCTGCCACAACCGTCCCGTCTTGGGTCGCCCTTCACGGTTTCGCTCATGACATCATTGAGGTGCTCAAGCTCCAGCGCCCCGACAAGGCGGTGATCCTTTGCTGGAGTCCTTTACCCCAGGTAAAAAACGTGAAAGTTGTGCAGGTGTCCTATACCATTTTGTAACATTTTCCTTCTTACTCTCCTTAGTACATTATATTTTTCATTTACTATATTACTTATTCCCCTTTGGATATCTGCCCTCACAATTTCCATATCCATTCTCCACATTTAAAATATTTCCTCTATTATTTCTTCTTTTATCGTTATAATTTGTTTGTCTAGTTCTCTTGCCACTTTTTTCTCATCTCTCAATATTGCATCATTATTCATCAATAAAGTCATACTCTAGATCCATACTGACAAATAATGCAGTTTGAACTGTGTTAATACAATTTGGACGGCATTGAACTGCATTTTATGGATCTATACCCGGCATAGGCAAACTTCAGCCCTCCACGTGTTTTGGACTTCAACTCAGACAATTTGGCTATTAGGAATTGTGGGAGTTGGAGTCCAAAACACTCAGAGGGCCGAAGTTTGCCCATGCCTGATCTATACTGACCATATACTGTAGTTCAACTTGCATAATTTTAACAATGTAGATCAAGCCACAGTTATTGTTCAACAAACATCTGCAACATTTTTTGCAATTTTGCTCCCTATGCTGGGGAAAATGGAAGGAAAAAGGAAGAGGGGCCAACCAAGGGCAAGATGGATGGATGGGATCCTTTAAGTGACTGGCTTGACCTTGAAGGAACTGAGGGTGGCCACAGACGACAGGGAGCTCTGGCGTGGGCTGGTCCATGAGGTCATGAAAAGTCGGAAACAACTGAATGAATAAACAACAAATGCTCCCTATGGAATTTCCCAAAGTAATTGAATCCCAGTTTGATGAGAAGAAGGAGTTTTCCTCCAATAAGAGAAGACTTTTTGAATAAACAATGAGGGAAAAAATCCAAATAATAAAAAAGCTGTTTTAGATTAAGATGTTTAGAGTGGTGTGACTGTTTCACTACCATAGGTGTTTAAAAATCAATACAGTGGGATCACTTCAGCTGTATTTACCTCCCCTCATTGTCTAGTCATCAGTTAATTAGAGCTGACTTTTACGCTCTTGACAATATCCTTAAGCCAGGCTTGCTCCTCCTGGCTGCCTGCCCAACTTCCTTCTTCACATTTTGTGGCTTGTGCAATTCATGCACTGTTAAAATGATAATTCAGAAGTGACAACAGAAGTGCAATATGAGGGCTTTTTTTCTTTCCCTATGAAGGGAGCACCATGGAGATAGTCTATGTTTATGTGAAGAAGCGCAGTGAGTTTGGGCGACAATGCAACTTTTCAGACCGGATGGCGGAGGTCAATGTGGACATTCAACCAGATCCAGTTCAAGCTATGAATTTTATTGAAAGAGATCCCATTGACACTGGAATTCAGTGTGCCAGTGACATGTCAGAGCATGAGGTACAGTGCTTACATTGCTTTTCTGTCTGTAAACACCGAGTTCTAGTTTAAGTGCATATGCTGAAAATAAGGATCAATCCTAATGTTATCTCACTTGGATTATGACTATTATTAATAATGGCCTTATATGTGAATTCTGTTATGATGGCTGAGGGTGTGTTTGCCCTTATATTTGCCATTGCGTGTTTTCAAGTCCTTTCTGACTTAGAGTTTTCTTGGCAAACGTTTTCAGAAAAGGTTTGCCATTGCCTTCCTCTGAGACTGAGAGAGTGTGACTTCCCCAGGGTCACCTAGTATAGATTCAAATCCTGTCCCCAAAAGCCATAGTGCAATTCTCAAACCACTTTCCCTCTATATATATACCTGCCCAATCATTAAGCTCTGCCCAAGACGGCGGGTATTCCTTTGTGTCACACACTTGTGAGTACTGTGGTGCACAATCTGGACATAGAGCTTCCTTTTCTTTAGTATCTGCCTCCTCTTCTGTCTCTGTTTTGGGATTGCCTTCTCCTTGGAAACCTTACTAGCAACAAGATTTCCCTTATTTAATGCCAAGTTTAATCATGGCTAGTTACCCAAGCAGGAAGCTCCCGGTTGCACAGTGGGTTAAACTGCTGAGCTGCTGAACTTGCTGACCGAAATGTTGGCAGTTCAAATACGGGGAGTGGGGTGAGCGCCTGCTGTTAGCCCCAGCTCCTGCCAACCTAGCCGTTCAAAAACATGCAAATGTGAGAAGATCAATAGGTGCCACTTCAACACGAAGGTAATGGCGCTCCATGCAGTCATGCCGGCCACATGACCTTGGAGGCGTCTATGGACAGTGCCAGCTCTTCAGTTTGGAAATGGAGATGAGCACTACTCTCCAAAGTTGGACACAACTAGACTTAATGTCAGGGGAAACCTTTACCTTTTACTCACCCAAGCATTTGTGATCTCATGGGAATATGATTTCATTTTTGAGCCACCACATTGCAGATTTTTTTTTTGTGCTTTGTTTTAGATTGATTACCCTGATAACATGGATGAAATAGAATTGTTTTAATAAATAATGTGTTTCAAAAACCAGAAGCAAGTTAATAACTGTCTTTTGTACCAGGTTAACACAGAAAGGTTTGAAATGGAAACTCGAGGCATTAATCATTTGGAAGGTGGGTGGCCAAAAGATGTCAACCCACTGGAAATGGAGCAGACCATTCGTTTCCGGAAGAAAGTTGAGAAGGATGAAAATTACATCAATGTCATTACGCAGCTTGGCAGTGTAAGGTTCTTTAGGTCCACCTTATTTGGGCATCAGCTTGGCTGGCAATTTTCCATGATTTTCTTTTTGTTCCCCACCTTTTGTTCTTTAGTCATCTAATGATTGATTCCGTGGGGGGTTTTTTTGTAGTTGATGGATCATTGCATCAAACAGAATAACGCCATCAACATTTACGAGGAATACTTCGAGGAAGAGGAGATGCCAGGAGTTAGCGATGAAGCTCCATCCGCAAAAACAATCAATGTTTTCAGGTAACTTTTTAGTAACCTTTGTGCTTTCAAGATTTTACTCTTATTATCCATTCTGAGATAAACCTTAGTTTGGTTATATTAGATGCTATTCAGTAGTTATAGACTGATGTAATGCATGAGAAGTGAATATTGTTGCAGCACCAGTCCAAAAGGTACCATGAGCATTGTTGTTGTTGTTGTTGTTGTTGTTGTTGTGTGCGTTCAAGTCATTTCCAATTTATGGTGACCCTGATCAGGGCTTTTTTTTCTCCAAGATTTCTTTTTCACATATGAACCTGATAGTTTCCCAAGATTGGGTTTGGTTATGATCATAGCTTTCCCTGTACCCCTTTTCCAATTACTCAGGCTGGATCTACACTGCCATACAATCCAATTTCTGATCTCAGATTGTCTGCTTTGAACTGGATTATATGAGTCTACACTGCCAGATAATCTGGGATCAGTAACTGAATTATATGGCACTATAGATGAGGCCGCACAGCTGAATCCAATGGCAGACATGGAGCTGAAAACTCATTTCACTGCTAAATGGCTGGGAAACATTTAGGAGAAAAAGAAGGCAAAAGTGTAGGTAGAGAGATAGGGTTCTTGGCCCTGTTCCTATTCATCACTATCTCAGTTGAAGCCACATGAGAAGGAATTGATTTTTATTTCTAGAAATTCATATTGAATTCTCATTCATCGTGCAGTCTCCTACTAGGTTTCCTGTTCCAATATTCCAAGATGCTGAAAGCCTTATTGATGTTGAGTAGTGCTTTCACTGATGCCAGATTTGCATCTATTTATTCTTTCATGCGGCAACTGGTTTATTTCTACAGGACCACAGAAAGTGCATTGCTGAAAGGCATTTGCATAATGAACACAGAGTTGTATGGCTCACTTGATTCAGTTGTCACAGCTTGGAAGAGTTGCCTTTTGGATTGTAACTCCTAGAAACTCCCAGCCCATATAGCTATGGTAGGGGATTATGAAAACTGTAGCCCAAATAAATACCTTTTCCAATCTCTGGTCTTGGCATATTTTATGAAGACGTAAGAAAGAATCCATGGGTTAATCAAGCAATAATAATAAACTTTATTTATACCCTGCCACCATCTCTACAAAGGGACTTGGGGCAGCTCATAAAAGCACTCCATAAAATAAACAATACATAAGCATAAAAACAATAACAACAGAAAACTGTAACAGCAACCACAACGAATGCACATAATGTCACATAATAATGAGATTATTAACATTTATAAAATCCATTAGTGTGTGCAAATAAAACTGGCTGTCTTCAATTAACGAACTAAAGTGCGGAGTGAATAATCAGTCCTCACATGCTCTCATTTCAGTCTACTCAAGGTCAAAGACCCATTCAAAAAGCCATGTTTTTAGGTTAGAGTGAAAGGTTTGGAGTGTGGAGGTTTAGTTAGTTAGGTGATCCCTCGTTGGACGAGTAAGATGGTCTTCCATTATGGATTTCCTTGTGGGTCCGTATGTGGCTG